TGGGCTTTGACACAGTTGAGAAATATATTTTGTGAACCTAATCAATCCACAGTTTTTATGATAATAAACAAGTGGAATGGGGTCATGAGCTATGCTTAGTCTAAAATTATTAGTTAGAAGATTTCTAGCTTTATTGGGCCCAAATAGCATAAAGACAGATTTTTTTGAGCTTGATTTGAGATTATGTGCTGATGATACATCATATAATTTTTTTTAATTTAGATATCTTCTTAGTATTTTTTGAAGTAAATAGGTTTATAAAATTTAAATCTTGAAGTCCGAAGTTAATTTCAAGTTTATTTGAGAGAAATGAGAGCGCGCCTGCGCGATTGTGTTGATTCTCCAATCCAAAAACCCACAATACTGTTATTACGTAGTTTACGATCCAATTCAAATAACTTGGCTTTTAGGGAAATATTTTTTCTTTCTTAAGATAGTTGGTTCTATTACGACATGCATAAGTTCTTGCTTGAATTCAGTTAGCATTGTTTGTGTTAAGTCCACTTTTGCATTAAGATTAAATAAAAGGACGTGTAAATCGTCGAGAGTAACAATTTTATTAGAAGCCTTTATTCTTTTTTTTTTGTTTAAAATTTGTTTCCAACGCATCGAATAGACACTGCCAAATTTTAAATCAGAAACTTGATTCGGCTTCTTTTTTGTATCGCAGAAAAACCACCGCAAGAAAACAGATTAAACTATCTTGTGTGAAGGTTATAATACGATTCAATTAATAACTTTGTTAATTTGCATTTATTTTAAAAATTGGGTAGTATATCGGACTCACTGTGATTTTTCCTTTATATTGGTGTTAAAACATCTGATTATTTTGCTCACTTGAAAAGATGATTTTTGCAAGCTACACCCAAACACAACTTTTATCGCATGTTGGCGCTGTTATCTTTTGAGAACTCAAAGACGTGGTCTACTAGTTGGTGTAGCCTTTCAAAATATTTGGTATAATAATTATATAGCATTAATTGCCACTGCCACTGTTAAACTCTAAAATTTAAAAAAGCGTATAACAAGAATCATATCTTAAATGTTTTAAATAATTAAACAATATTTCTCACTATTTATTTGGTATTCTGTTCCGTACTTCCATGCATCTATTAGCTCTGCTATCAACAAGTTCTGGTAAGGCATATCGCATATAAAAAAATTTAAATTTTATTTTGCATATTTTCTTCCCAAAAGCTCTCATTTCGAGGAATTTTCTCCACTTTTATTCCTCGAGGAGCCCAAACACACAAAATGCAGAAAAATCTATTTGTATTATGAGCAGCTAGCCCTGAATTTGAAAATACCAATTGTGGTTCTCCTTAATGGCATTGTTATTTTTCCAAAAAGTTATTTTTCTACTGCATATTCCTTCTTCTACAGTCAGCACTCTAGCTCCATATGGACATTTTAACTCTATCATAAAGTTTTGTTTTTTAAAATTCTATCCGGACTGGCAGCAAGATAATCAAATTCGAAATCAATAAAAAGTCTACATTTAAAAACAAAAAAATGACTCGGGATTAGTAATAGATTTTATATTTTTTTAAAGAAGTTTCCTTTTTTTACAAATGTCTTCAAATTTTGAAGCAGTGACTCGTCAATGCACAATCAGCTTGATCTCGTGTCTCAATCGTTTTTTTTTATCATCTATAGACATTGGCAAACTTTAGAAAATCTTCTTTTGCAACTCGCATCAAAAAGTGCGATATATAAAAAAAACAATCTACTTAAATTGAAAAATCGTCCCTCAAAAACTCAACGTATCTCATATTTTCTGGTTGTTCAGTAGAGGCATTTGAGTGACCTTCCAAGTTTTTAAGAATACTGCAGGCTTAGTCAATGGATGTGAGCTAATGATTTCATGGTTGCTCAGCTCAGATTATGGAAAAAAAAATTTTGAAACAGATATGTCACTTTGTATTTTTGTTTTTCACTCCAAGGTTCCATTTCACTGACCACTTATGCCCTGTGGTTAATTACGAATTAGGTAATAAAAATGTGCGAATTAAAAAAAAACATTATTTATGAAAGAACATGAAATTCGTAAAACCAAAACTAAAAACATAAAGTAACAATAAAGAAATAATGTATCCCAAAATAACTCAATCATCATTATAATTATGAGAAAGTGACTCCTAAAAACTGAATGAACTAGGCGAGGAAAATCCACTTACCCTCACTTGAGTCCTAGGACATAACAGGGTAAAGGATAACAAGATTGCAGATTAGGTTACAAGGAAAGGGGCCCAAAAACCCTTTGTGGGACCTGAGTTGTTCTGCCGTATCAGCAGTAATACAATATTAGGAGGAATTGGGCAGTAGATAAACCGATAATTGAAACAATCTCTTGGGGCTGACAGGCTAAGATATTTCTGGGTAAATATAACCAGGAAATATCAGAAGCCTGTATCTACCTGAGCAAGAACAGGCTACGCATTGTTACAAGGATCATTACCGGGCATCGCCGACTCAAAGGACACCTAAGTAAACTAAAAGTAGTAGAAGATAGTGAGTGCAGATTCTGTGAGGAGGAGAACGAACCTCCTTTCACATTCTGACCGAAAATGTAGCACTCAATAATATAAGAGCACTATACTTAGTAGCATACCAAATAGAAGAAGGCGATCTACCTAAAATAGAAGAAGGCGATCTACCTAAGTTGAAGCTACTTTAAATTCTACGCATCTATAAAAATAAATCTTGTGTTTTACTACTTTGACATAGGGGTTCTTCCTTGAGTTAGGACGATTATGTCCTACCGTACTTTTTCTTGCTTATCTTGATTGGTTTAAGATTTAAACAATGTAGCTGGACACTGGACAGCCTCTAAATTTAGCTGGTATCTCTTCAGGTTTATTAATCGATAATCTCCTTGAAGATGACTAGTTTTGAAAAATAATGTATTGGGATTCAGCTTACATACTTTGATATACATTATATCACTCCATTTAACAGCAACATCTCTGCTTTGTAAAATCCGAAGTCTTGGGACAATTTTTAAAACCGTACAGGAATCGTTGAATTCTATTCTAAGGCAATTACATCGTACCGATTCCGCCGCCTGGCCAATTTGATGGTAGTTAGCAGTTGTGAGGAAAGAAATAGGTCTCCAGCATGATATAGCATTAGATATGCAGTCACCTGTACAACAGCGTAGTAAAGACTGTGTTTAGAGTCAAAGGAAAATAATTAGCTTACTTGTTAAATCAAATCATAACTCGTACAAATGATATAAGTCAGTTCGTGTTTTCAAATTAATATAATAGTTCACAAAATAAATCACGAATAGGCGTAATTCGACATACGTCTATTCGTGATGAATAACATTTACCAAATTGAGATACGTCAAGCAAGAAATAATGGGATATTCGTAGAACTATAAAGGTTTGGTTTACGCCACTACGTGCATTCAATAGAGAATGTAAAGTTTAGTCAGTATGTGGCGTATCTCAATTTGGCATTTTTTTTGAGATACGCCACTACGTGTTTTGAGGGACGAAATATTACAGGGTAGGGTAGTTCACATGCTGGAATTAATTATTGTTAACTCGGAAGAGGTATTCATTAAAAAAAACTCTCGTGCGATATAAAAGTTAAACAAAAACATTACTTTTTAAAGAGTTGTTAACATGCTGGAATTAATTATTGTAAAAAATAACAATGTGTACAAACAGAACAAAATAAATTCAAATAGTAGAAAAAGATATACATTTTGTTGGTGTCACCCTCTAGACGAAAAAACTTTTGAAATATTTTTTTTCACTTTTATTGTAGAAAAATTAATGCTTCTGCAGGCAAAAATTAAATATAATTGTTCCCTTCTAGCACTTTTTAACATTTTTATTTCTATTCGTTAGAAAGACATCTTTTTGGATTATTTTCAAAAGAAACATTCACATTTTTAAAAGTAACTACAGGGTTACGGGTTCAGCCTTTTTCTTGTAGTAAAAATAAAAAATAATCCGTTAAATTGGTGTACTACTATGAAACCCTTGCATATAATATACAGGGTGTTTCCGAACTTGGCGTCCAAATTTGTAGGGGTGGTAGTTCGCATAATTTGAGACCGATTCGCAGATTTCATTTTTTCAAAATATTTAAAATAAAAATAATTAAAAATTATAAACAGGTACGGTCCTGCACAGCGATAGGTGCGCCTCGACTCGCGCGCGCTACGCTTAGAATCGACAAAATTGCAAATCGCATCTGTTTTTGAGGACTATTGCGCTACGCGCTCAGGGTAGGACCTGCTCTTTGATTTTTTTATAATGGCTCTATTTTGTTTATTATAATTTTTTAGAAAAATTAAATCTGCCAATCGCTCTCAAATTATGCAAACTACCACCCCTACAAATTTGGACGCCAAGTTCGGAAACACCCTGTATATGCCAATCTTAGTGTTAAAGAAATTATTTAAGTAAAAAAATAAGGAGTACAAATAAGTAAAAATCATTTATCCCTCGTAATACATCAGTAAAATATATTATACATTGTTTTCATTTACAAATATTAATTTCATAAAAATCTAACTGAGGCTCCACTTTTCAGACGAAAAATCTTGCGATGTAAGGGTTTTGTACTACCCCACTTTTAAAGTTTATTTTTGACTATTTCTAAAAGAAAAAATAGGTACCTACATGTAGATAAAGGTTAAATTTGTGCTCCTTTGGAACCAGTTTTTTTTAAATTTATTTTAGTTTTTTTCTAAAAAAAAATTAAGAATATGGTTAAACAAAGTCAAGTTTTTTTTTTTTTCAGAAAAAACAAATTTTCAAAAAGTTTCTCCAGAGAAGGCCAGATTTAACCTTTACCTACACGTACATATTTTTTCTTTTAAAAAAAGTCAAAAATAAACTTTAAAAGTGGGGTACTACGAAGCCCTTGCATGCTCTACTCTAAAGCCAATTAAATACTCCTCTTAATGAATATTCACTGATCAAAGATTTAATTAATAGATTCTACCAATAGAATTTAAAAATAAAATTTTTCCATTTTAGTTTTGGGGAGTAGTGGTAGCATGGGAGGATCTTTATCTCATGAATATCAGTTTAAAGCACCTATAGGTGAGGATAATGTACTTTATTGTAGTTCTTGTCAATATTCAGCAAATATAGAAGTGTGCGAGGACCATCAAAAATGTCCAAATTGTGGAGATGAAAAAAATATTAATATTCAATGTGGAATTGAGGTAACTTAAGCAAATTTTAACATTGATAGTTATGTAATAAATTGATATATTTTTAGGTGGGCCATACATTTTTACTTGGTGATAAATATTCTAAACCATTAAAATCTACATTTATTGCTAAAGATTCTAAACCAGAAGTTTTACAAATGGGTAGTTATGGTTTAGGGATAAGTAGAATTTTAGCAGCTTCTGTTGAAGTTTTGTCATCAGAAACAGAAATGAGGTGGCCTAGTGTATTGGCTCCATACAATGTAATTATTTTACCTCCAAAAGTAAGCACTACTATTAAATAGAATGTTAATATTAAATACATTTCAAATCCTTTATTTTTCATATTAAAAATATATTTTTTGTAGAAAGGGAGTGCAGAATCATTGCAAACAGAAGGTATGCCAGAAAAATTGTATTCAAATTTGGAAGAAAAAATACCTGGATTAAAAAATAATATCCTAATGGACGATAGAACATCTTTAACACTAGGAAAACGATTATTAGATGCTAAAAGAGTAGGATATCAATTTACTATTATAATAAATAAAAAATCGGCAGAAGAAAACCCTTTGTTTGAATTAATTGATATAAAAAATAATAAACAGTTGTATTTATCAAAAGAGGCTTTATGTGATTATATCCAGCAAAATTTTAGAATTTAAGTATGATGTGCTAATATTTATTATTTTAATAAACTTTTTGTTAAAATGTTCTTATTAAATCTAAAAAACTCAAATTTGTTGACAGTATATGCTAGTTACGCATAAATTGGGTGAATTATGTTTAAAAACAAAAGTATGAATATATAGTAGACCACCTTCACAACGCGAGGTTTAAAAATAATTGTAGTCTACCAACCGTGTACCAACCCATAGAACTACCCTACTGTAAAAAAGGATGCTGCTACAAATGTTTAAAATTTTATAATATGCTTCTTAATCATTTAAAGACACTACGACCCTATCGGCTTTTAAAAATAAGGCCAAACAAATTATTTCTATCTAGTCTTACAGCTTAGAAGATTTAAAAGAAGTTATTGAACGTAATTTTTATTTTTAAAATTTAACTTTGGCATTTGTGAAATCAACAATGGTAAAATAGGTTTTGCTGGGTTCCCCATATTTCTTAGCAAATGCACCACTAAATTCATGTTTAAGTCGTCCCCTCGTTTACTTTGTAGGTCATCAAACTAAAATTAATACTCTCCCTAATTCACTCACTTACGAGTGAATTTGCCGTGGCGCTCCGGGGCGAGATGATTTACAGGTGAGGAAAACCTCATTCACCATCATCGAAACGGTAACGCACAACGATTTATAATCTGAATTCCATATCAACAGAAATTAAATTACTGCTTATACGCCACCCATCAAAACCTATAACGAACCATGCAAATTAATTAAAAATTCACATAGGATCTGAAGCCGTGTTCGCGAAACTACCAGTACAGATTATCCTGGCTTCCAACTTAATTATACCATACAATTTTGGTATTATTTAAAATATAAAAGTAGAGAATGCATAATATCTAAAAATCAAAACTTGTACTGAAACATGATATAAAACTGATCATACAGTTTTATACCAAAGTGCAAATATACCGGTAACGCCTCGGTCTGTAGAACCAAACCTATAGGATTTTTTTAAAATATGTTTTCACAGGAAGATGTATATCAGAAAAGGCAACAATTTAAAAATAATTTCAATCGTACAGGGTTATCCAAGAAAGTGATACATATATCAAAGTTAGGTTGTTTTAAACGGAACACCCTGTATTTTATTTTATATTTGAACTGCCCTCGCTTTTCCCATTATAATAATATCAAATAGTATGGGATTATAAAGGGTATTTCACACGCTATAACCAGTTTTATACGAAAATCGTATGAAGAGTCAGGGGGAAGAAAGATGAAAGTCCATTTTTGATCAGAAATAAAGTAATGAGGTCCTGATCCTGTTCTGTTCTCACTTTTTATTAACGACGTAACTTCCTGCTTTTTAAATAGTACTTGTCTTCTATATGCAGATGACTTGAAATTTTTCAGCACAGTCACACATAACACTACTGCCCTTCAAGGTGATCTAGAGATACTAACCCAGCTAACATAGTTCCGAAGACGTAACCGCTACCAACTTAGTAACTACAAAGGTTACGGCGACCATCCACCGCTACCACCTAGTTACTAAGGGTGAGATTACAGAACGTCTGCAACTTTGCAGATCTGCAAATATGGCGGCAACTTTGAAAATCTGCAAATATGACTGGCTTACACATGCAAGTATCAAGTTTTCGTATTCCAAATTTGGGTTTAGTGTTGTTGGGGGTAATAAACCACAATAAATATTGCGAATTTGCAGATATTTTTTGGAATACTTGTATTTGTAAGACCGCCATATTTGCATATCTGCAAAGTTGCAGACGTTCTGTAATCTCACCCTAAGCTGCTATGTAATAGTTACCAAAGTGGGGAATGATTTTCAGGTAACCAAGTATCCAGGCTAGTTATTGAAACTTCAACCGCCACTATTATTAAAGTCACAAAGTAGTGGCTGCCTGGTTATTGCTACGTAACAGCATAGTAACTGCTTCATCTCTATTGAACGTGGGCGTGTCCTGACTCTAATATTTAAATAAAAAGTGATATTAAGCACTCACATAGTCCCAAGTTGATAATAATTTCAACTTTTTGGATGCTGAATTTATTTTAAACCAATGAAAATTTTAACATTAATCAATTTTTTTATGTTAAAAAAATGCATATCTTATTTCACCTAAAATATATGGCCGAATTATAAGTTGTGACTATCAAAGATAATACTACCACTTCCAAGTAATTTTGCCTTTGTCTTTAGTAACTCTAAACTTTGAAATCAATTTTAGCAGTAATTGGGTGTCTTAAAGTTACAGTACCAAGAATGTATTTAGTTTCCGCTACTGCAAAGTATATCCTCAGGTAACAAGACTATCCATCGACAATGATTTTAACTTACATGCTACTATAAATATAAAGTTATAATGAAGCACCCAGTTAAGTTCCAATTACTAGCAGTTGTTACTTGTTAGTTAAAATTACTTTGTAGTCGCATTTTAGTAACTTTTGTGGTTTTCGCTACTATAAGATGGTGACTTTAAAGTAAAAATTACTTTAAATACATTTTTTAAGTAAATTTTCGGTTATTGTAACTTCGTTATGGGTGTTTATATAACCATAACTACAAGCGACACACTGAGAATAACTGTTACGTTTTAGTGACTGTATCATTAGGAATATAAAGTAATTGTTACATTAAACAGGCATTTAGAGTTGTAGCTACTACATATTTACTAAATTAAAGTAATAAATACTAAAGTAATAGTAATTATGGCTCTCTATGCTATTTGAGAAACGAGTGGTGCAAGATGAACCATCTCTCATTAAATACCAGTAAATGCAAGACCATCCAGTTCACTAGAGCGTTAACTCCTTCTCTAAATCAATACAAAATCGGTAATACTGTACTGCAAAATGTCACATCTGTGAATGATCTAGGGGTGATATTTGATATGGAACTGTCCTTTCGAGAACATATTGATTCCATTATCTGTAAAGCTTTCCGGATGCTAGGCTTTATTAAAAGAAATACTCAACATATGTATGATACTAAAGTAATCTTAACATTATTTAACAGCCTTGTTAGAAGCATTCTTGAATATTGCTCACTCAGTCGTATGGCATCCTAATTACACCTGCTACATAGAGAGGATAGAACGAGCTCAGCGTAAATTAACTATTTGCTGTTTAAACACCACTTTCCCTACCAAAACGTTGGTTACGAAAGTAGACTGATTTTATGTGGTATGCAAAGCCTAGAAATTAGAAGAAGACATGCACTAGTTCTGTTTAAATTAATTAACGGTAAGATTGACTGTAGCGCTCTTTTACAATTAATTAGCTTTTTGGCACCTACTCGACGTACACGTCATACTTCATTGTTTTTCATCAGAAGACATAGAACCAACTATGGGCAAAGAGCATTTATTGACCGTATGTTCCACATTTACAATAAGCTTTACTCCGACTGTGACCTATTTAACACAACGTTGTTTGCGCTAGAGTAATTTGAAACTCTCAAAATAATTTTTTTTTGTGAATGTGATATTTTTGTGTAGGTATTCTACATACATGTATTGTTAATTTTTTTAACTCAGTGTCCCATTTAGAATAATTCTGTAGTGTACCTATTTGAATAAATAAATAAAAAATTAAATAAATAGGGGGACAAACGCTGAAGATCCACTTTTCCGTTTCGACGCGACGATTTTATTTGCTGCAAATACGAAACTATTAATAATTTACTGATATTTTTAGTTGTTGTTTGATCTTGTCGGGAGTGTATTGTTTTGCTACGCGTAGAGTTATTATGAAAAGTAAAAATATAATTATGGTACATACACCCCATTTATTAAGCTATTGTTTTATTTTTATGTTAGATTCCTTGCCGCTTTCGTTAGACAAGTATAGAGACATAGGATAGCTCTCTAAATTTTGTTGTCATGAAGTCCAAAACTACCTACGAAGCTTGCCACAATTAATATTATGTGACATCTAATCTTTTTTTCCTAGTATTTATTGACATTGCAGTGAGTTTTTGCTAATAATACTCTGGTTTTTAAATAATTTGTTCCAATAAAACATAACGTCTATTTAAATTTTATAAATAATTTGCCTAAGAATGTATTTTTAATGCTACGACTTTTCAATAAAAAGCTGTTGGGTTTCAAACCTAAAATTTGCGTTTTCTGGAAATCATGTTTCATGGACTATCATCTTTTTTCCTCTGGCTCTTCGTATTGATTTCAATGACCTGTATAGTACAAAAGAAACATTATTTTTTAAATTTTGCTTTGTAGTAAATGCTTTGGTGTATAATAATTTTAGATAAATCCCTTCGACCTACGGTCTTAGAAATTTATCAGATTATTATATACTTAAGTCATTTACTAAGCAAAATTTTCAAAATAATGTTTTCATATAAAGTTTAATCGATTAAATTAGATGCACACCCTTGATTATATCACCATTTAAAAGTACCTTAATTAAAATTTCATTTAAGTGAAGCATTCCCTATATACCTAAAGTTAATAATTTTTTGAGATTTTTAAATTTAAATGAGACAAAATATAATTCATAAAATGCTCTAATTTTAACTGGTCACTGGTTAATAGGAAATAGACTGTTTGTTAATTAGTAATTAGAATTTAACCAGCTATAATTTATTATTGACTGAATAAGTTCTTGACAATACCTAATGCGACTTTTATATTCATTAAAAAAATAAATAAAAGCTACCGAAAACTTATCATAATACCTACTTTATTCTAAGTTTATTAAGTGTTATTTTGACTGATTTTATTTAATTAGAAAAATGTATCTAAGTAGCCTTCAATAATATTTACGAAGGTCCTAAGGTGGTTTTCAAAGGTCCAACTCACACATTTCTAAGCATTTTTTAAGTAAAACTCGAAATGCTTCTTTTATTTATATGACTAAAATCATATTAAAAAATTGACTAGACTTTTTAAAAAATAAATATTGCAACACTAATGACGTTAATAATAACGAACTATCAGTATTGAGGTTTCAAAGTCAACTTAAAAATATAATAAACTTAGAATAAAGTAGGTTTATAATGGAGGGAGTCTAGAATTTTATTTTTAACTGAATGTTAGTCCTATTAGAAATTGTTAAAAACTTTTTTAGTTCGATAATAAATTACAGCTGGTTAAATTCAAACAGTCTATTTCATGTTAACGAGTGGCTAGTTACAAATAAACTATTTTGTGAATTATTTTTTTGTAATTTAAATATCTCCCAAAATTGTTAACTTTAGGTATAGGAAATGCTTAACAAAAATAAAATTTTAATTAAGGTACTTTCAAATGGGATATAAAATAAAATGAGAAAATTATGTAGTTGATTTTTAACTTACCCTGTACAGATTTGTTTTTAATTGAAAAAAAGTAGTGCATCGGCATAAATTAGGACTAATATCAAAAACTTTTTACCAAAAAAAATTGGTTTTTAATTGTTTCCTTTGTACTATAAGAGTCATTGAAATCAATACGATTTTCATATAAAACTGGTTGTAGCGTGTGAGATTCCCTGTATAATTTCATACAGTTTGGTAATGTTATATTGGGAAAAGCGAGGGAAATTCAAATATAAAATGTGTCTCATTTAAAAATCCTAACTTTGATATGTATCACTTTCTTGGAGAACCCTGTATAATTGAAATTATTTTTAAAATGTTGTCTTTTCTGATATGTTATGTTGGGAATGGGTGTTAATATACTGTTACATAAAAGATCTATTGTGCCCCCTTCTGTCGCTAATGCAGCAAGGAAATGTCTCAATGCCTATAACGACCCTTCCAATCCTATCTTCTCAAGGAAGTGTAGGATTTGGAGTGGCTTCAAGTTAGGTAATCTTCTTCCACTCTCAGTTTACTAAAATGTCCTTTTAGTCGGCAATGACCAGTAAGGATCTCTGTTACAATACATAGCCTGTTCTTGCTCAGACAGATGCAGGCTTCCGATCTTTTCTGGTTATATTCATCCAGAAGTATCTTAGGTCCCAAGAGATTGTTCCAATTATCAGTTTTTTGATATACATCTTGCTGTAAAAACAGATTTGGCTCCACAGACCGAGGCGTATATATTTAAAATATTTGCTATATTCTTGATTATTAATTTAACCTATACTTGTTTTTTTCAGTGAAGTGCCAGATTTTAATATTTTAAGTCCTGTGCATGTGTAGATCACAGAACACTTGTGTAGATGTTGGTAGAAGCTTGGGAAAGTTCTGAATAAAGTAAATAACATAATATATAAAAAACATTTATTTTAATATAAAATTAATTTAAACTAAAACCAACACTAATTACCCTTTGAGTATCTTTTCCAAAACTTTTTTACATCATCATGTGCTGATTTATTAATAACTAAAGTTCTTTTTTCTTTATTACACCAAATAAGTACCCCATTAGACTCTGTATACTCTTTGAGCACATTAAAGTCAGCCTGAGATAAAAATTGACTATATAACACTCCTTCACTATAAGTCAGTCTATTTCTTTCTAGCTCCCACAGTTTAATTTGATCCACTACAGTTGGAGGTAGAGGTTGTTTAGCTTCAGCATTAAGCATTTGAGGATGGGCATGTTGTTTTAAAAAACCTATTATTTGATCTGCTGTTATCCCCCCTCTTAAAGCTTGTCTTACAGATTCTCTGGTTATTAATCCAACTACTAAATTAGGAAATCTGTACATCAACTCTGTAAAAAGGGCTACAAGTGCTACTTGTAAATTTGAATCTGTATAAGCATATATCCTATAGTTAGTTTCTACAACAATGTAACCTTTAGGATGATCCTCTTCTATATCAGGAGTTGATTTATTGTGGCTATTAGTGATATTAAGAGCTAATCTGGTAGGGTAAAATCTACCAGCCTTTCTTTTTCTTTGATAAACTAAACCAAATTCTCTCAAATGTTGTAAAAAAATTAATAAACCTGGACTCATACCCTCTGTACTGTAATCTTTACCTAGTGTACTAAAACTGAGTTGAAATAAAAAAGTTAGACATTCCACTAAATCTAAACCTCTTTCCTCAACTGTATCTAAATACTGCAGTAAAAAATGCCAAACTTGGGCTTGCCTATCGAGTAACAGAAACTGAAATCCTTGCCTTGTTATAACAAGGCTTCCATCTTCTTCATCCCTTTTCATTAGACCAGCATGTAATAAAATTCTAACAGCATCAGCAGATATGCCTTCTTGTTGTTGAGAGCCCACCATATAATGTAAAACACATTCCCATCTTTCCTAAAAAATTAGACCTTGTACTTCAATTAAGATTTAGGTAAGCAAAAATATATTACCTGTGAATAAGTATCCAAAAAGGCAACATCTCTAGCTTTTGAATCAGCTTCTAGTGCTGAAGACATGCTCCAAGCTTTTCCACCTCCCAGCAAAGCAACTTTGAGATTTCTTTTAAAAGTAGGAGACAGGATCCAGCCCAATAGACCTCCTGGTATAGCTGCCTCCTGCCACAGGGTTAACTCCGCCAACACAGTGCTCGCGAAATTATGTTCTTTGGAAAAAACCTGTGAACCCCAAGAAGCCACCACTGCTTGAGGAACGGGTTGTTCAACAAACACTAATCTTATGACATATTGTTTTGCTAAATCGGGCAACTCTCTGTATATTGCTAGACATATCGTTGGATGATTGTAGAGCTTCTCTAATACTTGCGAAGAACGAGATTTTAGGTAATCGTAAAGATTTTTGCATTCCAAGTTTGTTTGTTTAAAACGACTAGATTTTTGGCTTGAAGTACTTCCGTCATTATCTGCCATTTTATTTCTTAATTAACTACTAATATCATAGTATTTCTAGATTACAATACTTTGTATTTTCAGACTATATCCTATTCACAAAATATTCCTTTATAACAATGTTTTTAAAATTTGAGGTTATGTATTATGTATGTAAGTATAAGTATGAAGTTTGGTATGAAGTCAAGGCCTGAAGCATTCAGCCACTTTTTGGACGCTTGTCATGCAGCAACCTGCCAGTAGTTCAAAAACAGAGGTCGAAGAAGAAGATAATTGATAAAAAAAACAGTAATTTAAAAATATTTTCATAAGCAAGAATTCTGAAAAATGTTAAATCATGAATGAAAAATATTACTGTATAAATTGTGGTAATCCCGTAAAAAGCCTTTACAAAGAGTATAGTACTAGTGTATTAAAATTAACAAAATGTGTAGGTATATTTAGAATTATTTTAAAGAATGCATTATAAAATTGGAATATTTTAGCCTAAATGTAAAATTATAGCGGATAAATATGTTGAATACGACTTAGTTATCGTCATAATTGATTTAATTCTCCTACGAATTATGGCTTACCGGCATATTTTACTTAACACTGAATTTAAGGTTAGTATTTAGTATGCTGGTATATCTTATATTTACATTGAGTTTATATTCGGTGTCAGCCACAGAACGTCATCCAACACACGATGCACAAGTGCATGTGAAAACTGCAGAAAGTTGGGCGAATAATATCGGCGTTGCAAGTTTGTAGGACTGAGTTGTAATGTTGGCCAAGCCGTGTGAACTGGCATCGCTAGTATTATTCGTTTCCTATTTGCTCTCTGTAGTTTTCACATACACACACTTGTGCTAAGGGATATTGATAGCCAATACATTTGTATAGATGTATACATTTGTATAGAAAATTGGATTCTAACATTTGTTAATGAACTATTACATTTATCATTATTACGATTTATTGCAGAATTTTTGGAAAATATCCATAGCTTTAATATTCTTAGAAACTTATTCAAACTGGATTTTTATGAGAGAATATCCAATGAACAGGAAGTCCAGAGACTTAAACAGTACAACTTACATAAATGAGGAACTGATTTATTTAGAGGATTTGAAATTTTATGAAATGATTTTAAACACTGCATTAGGCTTCTCCAGCTTTATCATTATGGCCTATTTGTTCACATTATTTTATTCTTATTTGAGAAAAAGGGACTTCACTCCTTTTGTGGTCATCTGTAAAGCTGTGACTTTGTCCACTTGTGGTACAATATTATTACTGCCATCTTTAATTTGGGAGACACACATACAAGAATTTCATGTCCTATTTGTGTCTTTATATACTACATTATCACAACTTTTAGCGTATAAAGGTAATATTTTAAAACATATCAGTAATAAATCTATTATTGCTTTACAATAAGATTTATAATTTAATTACAAACTGCTAGGTATATTCTAAGATTATCATTAAAGTAATTTTTTTCAGCTGTGTGTAATTCCGAGAAATCATGGAGTTTATTGGTTATATTTTCATCCCATCTTGTCAAAATTTTTATTATGAATACTTCCTTTACTAACTTGTTAATAAACATGTAGAAATGTCAGTACATTTGAACAATACATGAGAATACTTAATATAATTCCTACATTATTTTAATTTTTCCATTTTAAATTATATTAATTATGGAACGTGAAAAACAAGACAGTGAAGTTAGCAACGATGAGAATGAAGATAGAGATAGATTGCCATCACTGAAGCCAGGGTATTGGACTTGGGATGAAGCTACGCATGGCATAGTATTTATTCCGTATGTAATTTTTTATTTAGTTAAGTTGTGTAACAAAGGTAAGTGTTTCATTGAACAATGTTATAAGAACATAATTAAGTAACACATTGCTGTTCTGTGTTGTATGGGTATTTGACAATGATACTACCTACAAAATATGTGTCCTATAATATTATATATCTCGTTTATTTAGCAAAGCTAATAGTACATTACAAATAAATAAAATTACAAAAAATATTTATCTATATCTAAAATATAAAATATAACACTAAAATATCACAGATGCTGGCTCGTTAACATATAATCTCTTAGTTTATATTTAAAGGTATTAAATGAGGCGACATTTCGGAGTTCTAAGGGTATCTCATTAAAAGCTTGAAGTCCCTTAAAAAATATTGAATTTTGGGACTGTTTGCGTGCAACTTGTGGAATATGAAAATTAGATCTATTTCTTGTGTTATAGTTATGATAGTCAAAGTTGTAATTGATTTTATCAAGTAAATAAGAGGGGACCAGTCCATGTTTAATTTTATAAATGAATATTAAAGTTAAGTACAGAAAATAGTTTTTAACAGAAAGCCATTTCAAATTTTGTAACATACCTAATATATTGGTCCTTCTATCACATGACAATAATATCCTCATTGCTCTATTTTGTAATTTCTGAAGTCCCTTGGTTTCATTCTGATTAAGTAAATACATAATGGTGGCACAATAAGTGAAATGAGGCAAAACTATACTGTTATATAAAAGAATCAATGACCATTTATTAATATATTTTGAGCACCGGTATAAGTAGTTGACTTTAAACGCTACTGTTTTAATGATATAGTTTGCATGAACTTTAAAAAACAACATATGGTCTACTATTACTCCCAGATATTTAATTTTTTTTACGACTTCAATGACATCATTTTCAATACTAATTTTCATATTATTTTCAGTAAATTCATTGTAATACCTAACATTCCCGATAATCATAAATTTAGTTTTGTTAATATTTACTTTTAACGAATTAAAACAACACCAAAAATTTGCTTTAATGTGGTATTTATAGTAGCGGTTACTTCCTGCAAATTATTAGCAGAATAATACAGCAGAGTATCATCTGCAAACATATGTATGGAGCAACCACCTGCAACTTGAGAAATATCATCAATATATAGAAGGAACAATAGTGGGCCCAATACACTCCCCTGTGGTACGCCTAATTCATTTTTTTGTTCTTTTGATAAAATGTTTTTAAACCTTAATTTTTGTTTTCTATTGTCCAGGTAATTTATAAGCCATTCTAGTGAATTTTCAATAATACCAAAACTTTTTAACTTTTTAATCAGTAGAGATCGATTTACCGTTTCAAATGCTCTTTGTAGGTCTAAAAAAAGAGCACCTGTAATTAACTTGTTGTCAAGATTCTGTTTCCAGTCATTTAATACATATTGTAGTGCAGTCTCGCAGCTGTGTTTACCCCGAAATCCTGATTGATTACTATTAAACATATTATTTTCTTCCAAATATTCAATAAGTTGATTATATACTACTTTCTCTAAAATTTTTTCTACTGTACATAACATATTAATAGGACGTAAGTCCACTGCCCTATTTGAATTCTCAACCTTAGCTATTGGTGTTATTATTGAAATTTTTAGATCGTCTGGAACAGTATTAGTCTCTAACGAGGAATTTATTATATTTATCAATGGCTTAGCAATATTTTCGAAACAGTATTTTAAAAACAGTACATTAATTTCATCAGGACTTCCTTTATTCGACATATCAAAAACAATGTCTTTTAAAGTATCAAAACTAACAAGATTAAACTTTTTAAGACTTACATTATCATTTTTAACAATAATGGGAAAATCATTAACGTTCTGATTTATATTAGATACTAAGTCAATTATACTATCAATGTAATATGTGTTAAGTGCATCTGGCATTTCAATTATGTCTTTTATAATTAAATTTTCATTTATTTCAATTTCTACAAGATCATTTTGTTTATAGTTTTTGGGTAACAGTTCATTACATTCCATAATTTAACAGAATTATTTTTATTTTCCATAATTTGAGAGTCATAATATTTTCTCTTTTCATTTCTAATAGTTTTAACAGCCATATTACGTTTCTGTTTATATAATTCTTTATTTTGTTCTGTTTTGTTTAATACATAATTTTTGTAAGCCTTATCCCTATCTATAGTTGCTGTGTGCACTGTGTCATTCCACCAAACTCTAAATTTTGGAAAAATCTTAATAGTTCTCTTTGGTGCCACCTCATTTAAAACCCTCATTACTTTTTCATAAAAATCCTTATATTTGGCATTAATCCGTAATCTATAATTCCATTCAACTTTAGATAATTTTTCATTAATAGTATCATAATCGATAATTCTACCTCTACTTTCAATTAATTGTGGTTCCTTGGTTAGTGCCAAACAGTCTAGATATATTAAAATGTGTACTTATTCTAGGCGATGTAACAATTTCTACCCTAATATTTTCAGAATTAGTTATTACAAGATCTATAAGTGAGCCACCATTATTACTATTGGAGGGATGGGTAACTTGTGAAACAATATTTTTCAAACCAATGTCAGAAATACAATTTTTTAATCTGCTACTGTAAGTATTGTCATTCATCAAGTCAATGTTAAAATCACCTGTTACAATTATATTAAAATCACAATCACATAAAAAGTCATCTGCAAAATGTTCAAAAAAGTCTAAAAAATCCTTACAAGAACTACTAGGAGAACTGTATAAACTAACAACTAAGTAATTACTTTTTTCAAATAAAAATTTCAATAGTATTATCCAATATTTTTTTTGTGTACAAAATTTTTTAAAACTCAAAACCTTTAATTGATTGTTTATGTAGATTAAAGCCCCACCAGTGTGCCGACTATCACTATTAACCCTATAACTATTATAACCATTTATAGTAATTTCAGAATCGAATATTTCATCAGTAAGATGTGTTTCAGAAAGGCACAATGGCTACGTTCAGCAGAAAAAATCTGAACGGGATCTGTTTCAGATCAATTTGCAACAGTTTTATAGTCTGCTGAACACTGAACAGTATTTTTTGCGTTTTGAGCAAGAAACTGTAGTGACATTTGACATTTATTAAAGTTTTGTAACTAACCTCCAAACTCCAAATTTATGATTTTATATTTTATCCATTTTATCTGTGGATCGTGTGTAAATTAAAAAGTAAAATATAGAAGGGTATTGTGTATAATAGCAAAAGCAACTATTGTAAAGAAAGCTTAAGTGACACAATGAAATACAATATTTTAATGGTTATCATTCACGATGATATCGACTTAAATATTGTATACCTCTATTCACTACTAGATGCTTTTCTTTAGCAGTTACCTGAACTTTAAAAGTTTGCTAGAGATCTAGGTCAAATAACTCTAGAACTTCCATGTTTTAAATCGGCACCCTCGTCTTTAATATATTTTTAAGTTGATCTTAACCTCAAAAACAGAATTCGCAACATGTTTACTAGAAAGGTAGCATAAATTAAATACGCTCCAAAAAATGGCGACTGATCCGACAACTGTTTTGCGCAACGTTGAAAAAAGTTGTCGTTCAGCAGAAAATAAATAAACTGTTGCGTCTGCTGAACGCAGCCAATAATAATGGTTTTTTTGACGTAACTATAGCTGAAATTTCATCAAAATGACATAGTAAACTTTGAGCATTAAGTGATAAAATGAAACATGCAAAGTTTTTATTTATTGTTTTTTTAGATAATAGTTTAGTTTTACTGTTCCCTCTGTTTAAGTAATGTGAATAATTTTTTTGTTGGATGGAAAATCCATATTTTCTGTACTAGTAGGGACTGTTATATCACTTAAAATTATAATCTTTTCATTGTTATTTGATTTAGGAGTATTTCCATCTATGCAAGCAGTTTGATTATCAGTTTCAATAAATACTAAATTATTTCTGTACTTTACTGAACATATTTTATTTTTAATCAAAAATGCTAATTTCTTATTATTCAATCTATAACCATTCTTATCATTAACATATAAAAAAGAGAAGGAGTTTTTTTGATACCAGTCTATATAACTTATAAAACCTGATAATTTAGAATTGAAATTAATTATTTGTTTAATATTAGTTTTAAATTTAGGTATTGATAGAAAAATTAAATTTGTGTGCAAGCACTGTTTTAATTTATAACTAATATTCTTAATGCTAGGATACCTGTTTTTTAATATGTCGTTTTTTCCTGCCATAATAACTACATAATCATTTGAGTTAAAGTTTTTAGTAAGATTTTTAATATCTTCTAGTATTCTATTAAATTCTGCTCCTGGTTTTAAAATTATTTCAATTGACGCACTTTCTCGATAAAAACACTTTCTTAATTCCCTGTCCAAACCTCTTCCATTTTCATCTGATAATATCAAAATCTTTTTCTGTTTCTTGGCATTCTGTGGTTCAATGTTGTCACTTTTAAAACTCGTATTCTTGATGTCAATGTGTAAGCTTTTTAATTGGTTTAGGTACATTATATTGTCTTTTGCTAAGTTTTCAATATCTTTCATCAGCTTAACGTTCTTATTTTTTAATTGATTAAGTTGATCAGTCATATTTCTTTGGTTGTCTTCCAATGCAAAATTTAAAACTCTACATTCATTTATATTTTTACTTACATCCATAAAATTTTCGTTTTCAATTTTAAGTATCCCAATGGTTTTCTCATAATCAATATTTTCAGTTTCCAACATCCTTATTGTTGTTACCATGGTCCTGTTTATAGAATCCAACTCCTTGACATCCAGTTGCAGTTTTAATATCATCTCATCTTTTTTCATTATGGTTTTATCATATTCATTTATTGCACACTGTGCACTTTGAAGTTTCGAGTTGAGAGACTCAATTTCCCTATACTGCTTTGTAATTTTCGCTTCAAATGTTGACTCTGCATCTATTACTAAGTTTTCGAAACTTTGACTGCTTCTTTTTAGTCTTTTAATATGGTCTTCTTTATCTTGCAGATTTTCCTTTAGTTTGGCAATCTCTGTTTGGAAATTTTTAATTTCAACTTCTTCATAGTTTTTTAGGTTTTCACATCTGGATGAGCAATATACCTTACCACCATCTTTGAGGCATGGGAGAAGATTTAACGCTTTAACTGTATTTTAGATTGTGCAAAATAGACAAAGGATCTTAGTTTTAAATAATAGATCCAACAATGTTTATAGAATAAAATCAATTACTGTGACCCAGTTGGATCTATTGTGGCTCATGTCTAACTTATAGTTCACTGTACAAACTAAATCTTTTGATAAAGGCCATAGTTGAATTGGGTGAGACTTGTTTAAAGTCAGTAGGCTTCATTCCGATAAATCCGAATATGTGGAACCTAGTTCTTTCCAAAGCGGAGCAGGTACATAAAATGTGTTCAACAAATTCGTCTTCCATGCCGCATACTAGATAGTCCGATGTTTGTTATAGATATACCCTTCTCATGTGGTTATCCAGACGCCAATGTCCTGTCAATAGCCCCACAAGAATGCATAGATCTTTATTACTCCATTCCTGGATCTTAGCAGAAATATTCATGGAAGAGTTGGGTATAAACACCTTCGAATGAGTTACCGCATGAGGATTTCTCCAGTTCATCAATGTTACACCCTCTGTCCATTTTGAGATAATTCTTTTGGTAGTGCTCTTAGCAATGCCCTGGAATGATTCTGATCCTATGATCTCAGATTCGGTTCCTCTTTTAGCGAGTGCACCGGGTTTTTCATTGCCCTCTACACTGCTGTGTCCTGGAACCCAGATCAAAGTAACTGTTCCGGGCACCAAGACACTTGAGGGTATTTATTCTGTTCCAAATCCCTAACTATCCCAAAAGATCTTTATAATCTTGTTGGATATTTCAAGAATAAATAGAATTAGAAGTATAAATACCAAAGTAATATTGTTTAGAAACGAATATTTTCTTTTTTAAATACAAAACGTATTTTTTTTCAATGTTTAGAACGAACGTAGGTTTATTGTTGTTTTCGGATTTTACAAATTTCTTATCGGCAGATCCGTTATAAGTAGCGTTCCATTTATAATCCTCACCTTGTAAATATGGTAAATTTATTGATTTATTAACTTTTATAAATTTATTAGTCTTAACAATCTGAATTTTGATTTAAAAATCTCTCATTATTACCAATTTGTAAAACTTCAAATTAACTCCAAAATTGGATACGTAAATTTGTTTGAAATAAATCTTGATTTATTTATCTTTTTTTTTATTTCATTTATTGTATTTTATTTTGTTTAATATCATTACGTATATATGTAATAAATATTGTCTTATTCTTGAAAAAAAAAAAGCGTTTTAAGGTTCCCACTCAACTGCACACCCTTATTCAAAATCCAATAGGTTTTAAAGTTTAAACCATTATAAAGTTTACTGCACACCATAGGTTAGTGTGATGTTTGTTTATTTTAAACAACAGTTTATTTATTAATAATTTATTTAAACATTTATTTTATAACACTATTATTCTAATTTATATATATTTCAAATGTCTTTAAACTGTTCACTATTTATCTTCACTGTCCATATAATAACTGATCCTGCTTGGTCCTCCACCAATATTTATATACAAATTTAAAAGTTTGGCGAAGGTGCTAGAAAGTTCACCTATTCTCACCAATACACTAGAAACATTATCCCGTTCTTTCTCGAATAGTCATTGGAAGCTCCTCCGCCATAGTCGTCACATATGTTTGGTCTTAAGGGGTTTAATTATGTATGATAATCGGACAAGTTGAGCCTCAAAGGCCAAATAAGACAGAGAGGGACTTGGAGGATTAGAGCATGACTGAATAATGAAATGGCTCACATTACATTAGTATTTCATAATTTATTTTTATATTTAATTTACACAAAATTAGTATTTACTGCAAATTATAATAATCTTTTTCGCGCAAAAATCGAGGAGTTCTTCTTTCAATCCGCATAAAATATCTTCTTTCTCTTTTCCAATGATTGGGACCAAACAAATGATACATTAAGAACGAAATGCTTAATCTGTTGTTTCTTTTATCTGTCATACGTAACCATGGGTATTACCACCGTTTGTCATAGTTTTTCACGAGAATAATATAATTTATTCGCCCAGGACGTTTTTCTCACACCTTTATGTCCCTATGTATATCTTGACTTTGAGCTAATAGTGTTGTTAACAATATAACATATATAAAATTGCAGACACAAGCGCACATTCAATTTGATACTTAGGGCCAGTCTTTTCACCTCTGAGTAAAGTTGAAAGTAACTACTCGCTGATTAAACTATAGAGCTATTGTTTGTTAATCCGTCAAGTAAACCTACATGTAACTTTACTCCGAGGTGAAAAGATCGAGCCTTAGTCATTTATTTCGCGCCAGCTCATACAACAAGTAACCGAATATGAGCAATTAAATACTCAGGTTTCTCGTCGCTAATTTTTTTGCAAGTGTGGTGCAAGCGGAAAGTTATATAATCTGATATCACACCACGTAACAGATCAAAATCGTTGATCAAATCCCAGACGGGGCGTGACTTAACAAAGAAGCTATGGAAACTCATTTTTAAATACATTCCTATTTTATCACTCTTACCGCAGACTTCGCCATGAGTCAAGAGAATGCCATAGTGTGGCATTATTGTTTTTTGAGATAAAAATAATTTTAAAGTGTTGTAAGCACATTGTACAACACAACCAATAAACTATCTACAAAAATTAGAAAACATCTAGACTTCAGGAATCATCAGTTAAAAACACAAATGAGGTATATTATAACGAACCAGCGAATAGAAAAACATCCCCTCTTTTCAAACGTTAAATTACCACATTCTCCATATATTCACCTGATTTGACAATTGTGATTTACAAATTTATTTGATCTAAAAATTCAACACCATGTATATAAGGCTATACTATCAAGGATAAGTGTATTTTAATTTTTCAGCTTTACAGAAAAGGAAAAACCACAGACTTTAGAACCTACAGCTGCAGTGTCTGTTAGTTCCGTTGCTCAAGTTAAAGATACCACGTTTAAATATATCTTTGGCAGTGCAGCTATAGTAAGCTATAATTTAATTTTATTTTAACAATATTCATCGGGTTGTAGAGTGAGTGAACAATAAATGATCGAAACAATAACATCAAATGAGTATTATAATGGTATATTTTTTTCCGAATCATCTGATGTTCCAACATCTATGGGCTCAAGATTTAGGATTTTGCGTCTCCTCCGAAAGACGCTATAACCTCACTACATCACGTCTTCATTATCTACATTGTTTCATCTTCTAATTAAATGTAAATGTAGGTCCCGAAGGGTTAAATATTTGTTCTGTAGAATAGAATACCACAGCTTAATACGCTCTCTATATGTAAAAAAGTATATGTTTGTTTTAGGCGAAATTCAGCAAATATTGCGAACGAAAAGCAAAACCGGGTGCTCCAAATGTAGTGATATTACAAGACTGTAAAGATGTAGCGCTGTATTCATGCGAAGTTAAACTGTTGTCACCAGAATTTATAATGCTGTTCCATTCAAAAGTGATTGACAAATTCTTACGTTCGTTAATTGTGTATTTTCAATATTATTTACAGGTAATGTTGAGTTGTTTTAAGGGTTAGGCCAGAACCAATATTTATTTGTCTATACATAAGCCATTTCTGTTTAGCCAGACCGTAAACTTAGTTTAATTCTTCGGTTTTAAGGGACTGGAGATCGGAATCAAACTTTACCAGGTGTTTAATAGCATGTCACAAAATACTAAAATAAGGAGGTTATTTTAACAATATCGTGTATATATTCTTTTCCAAGATCTGGAACAAACTACACTTTAGAAGAGTGGAAGCCGCGCGAAAATTACGTCAACCCAGTGTAGCAATCTGGGAGAATAATCTTCGAGACGATTTGGCAGATCTCAGAAGCATGGTAGCTAGAGATTATTCCGCTATATTGATAGGAGTCGACGACGCCAGCAAATTCCATCATATGAAAGGTGAAAACAATCTTTCTTTGTCCGATAAAGACCGAAGGCGTTTTGAATTTCTGTTTAAAATGGCGATCAGGGTGGTTTGGATTGCTTTGAAGAAGAGACATCTGGCCCTTATTGGTAATTTTGTTTGTTTAAACAACCCAAATTGCATTTCTTTCTATTCATTTCTATTTCTTTCTATTCATTTCTTAATAACACAGTCACAGAGAGTATTGTAGCGATAAAACTCACTGTTGAACAAAACAAAGTTTTTGATTTTACAAAGCATAGAGTACTTTTAGCCTTATTTTGTTTCTAGAGAAAGAACTTGACAAACTTATAAGGACTATTAATTTTAGTCCGTCTGAACATAGCGAGTTGAAACGTGAACTTTACGTAGCACTACCGGGAGAAGAACAAATTTTGCGAGGAAGGGCGTTTCGAGAGGAACAGAAACTACTTCACAGATCTCCATGTATACAAGAACTTATTCGCCAAGATCACGATTATAGATTGCTAGCGATAGGTATTACCGATGTCGAAGAGTAAGTATTTTTCTTATAGACCGCGACAGTGTGATATTTGTTTTTTTTTTGTTGTCTTAATAAGTACACTACAGAATTAACAGTTCCAAATAGCGCAGTTTTAGAACTAATACACCAATTAAGTAAAAAAACAAAAATACAAATAGAGAAATTTGCGGAGTGCCAAAAAGACTGGGTTCGGAGACAACACAACAATTATTGGGAGATCGAATATCCCAAAGCAACCACATGGGAAAACCTTCATAGTAAGACCATGTTCAAAAAGAACAGAACAACTTCTCTCTATGAATAGGAACGAGTGGAAAACAACAGGACTTATCACTGCTGGGAATGTCCTGATAAAGGGACACCTGAACAAAATAGGTATATGCAATGGAGAACTGTTAAGTCGACTATGTCACAAGGAACCAGAAACATCCAAACATAATAATGTACGACTGTAAAACATTGGATCGCAGAAGATAGGTACTTTTTGAAAAACCACAGGTCGGTCCAATAAACTTCATAAAATACACTCATTCAAAGATCTGTACAAACTTGTTAAAAGAATAAATGTGACAGCGAGTACTACGAACTAACATGGAGTAAAACACAATAAGCGATGAGGCTGCAGTGTTATCGGTCACACGAGCACAGAAAAAAGCTATATTGATTTGGGAAAATTTTAAATAGATTAGTTGGAGCCATCAGTGGATAAAGATATTTGTTATTGAATAAAAATTGGTATGAGTCTGAAATGCTCTTTTTGTTTTCAGTCGCGTTGAAAGAATAACTTATCTAGAAATAGCATATACAGCTCCCGAAGAACTATTACAAGATCTGAATGTAGGACTTGGTTTACTAGGTGTTCCTAGAAAGTTTCTGGATCCTTTGTTAAACGAAGACTTACAGTCTACAAAAAAACGTAGTTCAATTATGAAACCAATTCCCGATTTTGCTATTCCACCTTTTACTCCGTACGAGTAAGTTTCATATAAAAATAATTTGATGCTGATAATTTTGTGTTTGCTCTTTTCATTTTTAGCCAGTCCAAAATACAAGATACATTGAGGATGAGACCATGCCGATATCAAGAATCTGAGACAGCTGCAAATGCTAGAATAGATCAATGCAACATGTGGCTAGATTACGTAAAGGGACAGGGCCAGTTCAGTCGTCGTGGATCATCAATTTCTAAAGCAGAGAAACAATCTATTTATTCCAGGAGACACTCAAAGAAAAATTAGTAACAAATTAAAACCAGGTTTTTGTTTCTATATATTTCAACTTTTGTTACCTGCAAAATGTTTCAATATTACAGTCTGATAACATAAAAAATTAAACATATTATTTTTGTACATACCTAAATAAATATTTATTTTTTTATTTCATACACATCCCACATTTTCAGTTGGTTAGGTACCTAACTGCCGTGCTAAGCACCTGTAATAAACTTGAATCAGAGAAATTTAGATATTTCGATATGTCAACTTTGTGGTTCTGAAAATCGACATTATAAAGTTCCAGGTGTGACTGTTTATAGTCATTTTGAAAGATAATACTTCAATTTTGTGATTTTAGATAATTCAAGATTTGATATAAAAATCATTAATCTTTTCAACTTACCACTTATTAATCTATTTTTTCAATTGTTTATCACTACATCATATTGCCGTATGTAATTAATGATCATTCTTATTTATTTTATTTTTGTTTCATAAATTGAAATGTTTATTAACGAGGTACTAGTTATAATAATTAATTTTGTTATCAACCAATTTTAAGTAATGACAAAAAAAAAGAATATAAAAAAAGGAAGGAAAAAAAATAAAAGCTTCAGATGATAATTAAATTGCATAACGTTAAATCTGTTAGTAATATCAGTTCTCAGTACTTTAATCTTCTACTTCATCGTTATCATCTTCACAATCATTTTTCACTAAATCTTCCTAAAATTTTAACCTAGTTTTTGGTATGATATCATTTGAAGGCTTCTTTTTATCTTTGGAAATTCCGTTAGCAGTCTTTTTCTTATTTGGTTCTAAAATACCGTCTTAATTAATTTCTTAATTTCACCTTAAGGAAATTAGGGTCGATTCCACCGTTGTGGTAAACTAAGTTTAAATTACTAAACGAAGATTAAAATGACATTTTTACTTTAGCAATAACATTTTAATCTTCGTTTAGTAATTTAAATTTCGTATAACACAACGATGGAATCAACCCTTAACTATTTTGTAATGTGGGTTCTTAATCGCTAATCTTTTCTTTTCTACTTTAACTTTATTAAAATTTTTAACAAATTTACTAAGGACCGATTCCACCGTTGTGTTAAACGAAGTTTAAAATGACATTTTTACATTAACAATGTCATTTTAATCTCCGTTTAACACAACGGTGGAATCGGCCTTAAACACATACTATTGCCGCGTTTGAGAATCCACATCGGATGCATCTGAGATGTAAAAAATCTTTGATCACGTGATTCAGTATACGTAAATGTAATGGGACAGATGTGTCCGATGTGGATAAAAAAACGCTCGAGATGTAAAAAATGCATCCGATGTGGATTCTCAAACGCAGCATTTGATTACTATACGATGCAAGAGAGAGGTCCGACACGCACAACATAGGGCGCGGCCATTTTGATTCCTATGCCACAGTTTATAGCTAATCAGATCGCTCACTCTGCGTCGGCACTTTTGATCTCAATGTTCCAGTTTATACACTGCGCAACTCGTATAATACAATATATGACAACTGCCTATAATAAAACAGCAGTATTCTGCGTATCCTGAATTTGTATCCCTGGAGTGGATGTTATTTTGGAACTTTCAACTGGTCCGAGTGAGCTAACTGATTCTTTAGCAATAAACTGTGACTCCAAAAATAATACTCACTGACACTGACAGCAGCAAGCAAAATATCAGGGGGTTAATTTTTGAATCATTCGCCACCCTGACGTATGCGAAAAAGTATACTTTTACCTAAACTGTATTTTTGACTTACTCGATTCGTTTCCGCATGCGAAATTGACGTCACTTGCGAATAGGCATTTAATAGGTTTTGCAATGACATGACGTTTATTGATCTCGGTAAAGCAGTTTCATACTAGGTTTCTATTGGTAGATCATCGAATTTTGCTGAAATAATCTACAACTCTTCGTTAGGTTGATCTGTTCGCAAAATATTTATCGAAGAGCATTCAAAAATATACTTTCCTTGACGCATGCGATAAATGCCATATGCCAATTGACGCATACGACTTTTAGCGAATGGTTTCAAAAATTAACCCCCTGGTGCGTTTTAATCATCCGCTTCTGCTTCCGGAATTGTCGGTTTAGTCGTTTTAACCCACATACTTTGATTACTATACGAGGCAAGAGAGAGGTCCGACACGCCCAACATAGGGCGCGGCCATTTTGAACCCTGTGACACAGTTTACAGCTAAAGAATCAGATCGCTCACTCTGCGTCGGCACTTTTGATCTCAATGTTTCAGTTTATACACTGTGCAACTTGGATAATACAATATATGACAACCGCCTATAATAAAACAGCAGTCTTCTGCGTATCCTGAATTTGTATCCCTGGAGTGGATGTTATTTTGGAACTTTCAACTGGTCCGAGTGAGCTAACTGATTCTTTAGCAATAAACTGTGACTTCAAAAATAATATTCACTGACACTGACAGCAGCAAGCAAAATATCAGGTGCGTTTTAATCATCCGCTTCTGCTTCCGGAATTGTCGGTTTAGTCGTTTTAACCTGTCAGATTCTCCGAGCAGTCAGATTAAAACAAGAAAACCGACAATTCCGAAGCAGAAGCGGATGATTAAAACGCACCTATTAAAAAAATTGCGCCAAGATGTGGGCAACACGTAATAAGGGTTCAAAATGGCGGAGTTTTCTATCTCCTTTTAAAAGGCACTCAGAAAGCTGCGCAGTGCGACCATTCTCCGTATAGTAAAAGAAAATCAAAGTATGTGTTTTAACCTGTCAGATTAAAACAACTAAGTTGTGGACGTATTTGTTTTCAAAAACAATAAAAAAAGCTTAGTTTTTTGCAGATATGGCACTTTAATGTAAGTATTTGAGGCAGAAAAGAAAGTTACGACTATTTTTATAGATCTATTTTGAATAAAATATTGACTTTTTATTGTAATCAAAAACTCATTTTTCTTAAAAAAATCAGTTACCACCTTTGTGTTACCACGGCAGTTAAGTGGTAAAAGGCCAATTAATAAAAAAGATGAAAACTGTTCCATGAATTGACTTTCATGTTCTGCGGTTTTGTTTGTATTTAAATTCTGACGCGGCACATAACTTCGGCATCGATTAAACTAATTTTAAAAATGTTTACCACAAAACACAATGAATGCGTTGGATTTGAATCGAATTGGAAAGTCAAGAGGTAAAAATATATACATACGTATCCGTTAGTTAAAGTTCATTTTTCAATAATTATATATTGCAGAGTTTATTCAAGTACTGAAAGTCAGACTACGGAATTTGCGGTAGCCGAGCAGGAAACGAGTACTGCCCCGAAAGAGAGTATAATGGTACGTGTTAATAAAAGCTTTTTATTATTTTTTGTGATATGAAACTTTATTAATGACAATAGATATGTATATGAAGAACAGAGCCGTAACTAGGTAAAATTTATAGGTTATAACTTTTTTATTCATTATTAAATAAGTTGATTAACATTCTTTGCCTTTTAAAAAACGAACATTTTTATTAGATAATTTTTAAATAACTTTAAAACAAAAATAAAATAAAAGGTGGAAATGGATTCTGCAATAAGACTTTCTATGAATAACATGGCCGTATTAGATAATCTTTCCTATGACATTGTCGATCTTAAATGTTTTAATTTTGAAGAAGCCCCAGGTGACGGAATTGTAAGAAAAATTTGTAATGATGTAGCAAAATTGGGCTACTCTGCCAGTAGCTCAAATTTATTTAGGTTTTGGCACATTTCCAAGGAAATCAAAAAGTTCCTGCGCTGGAAACTTAAAACTCGTAATATTGCATTTGCCTCTATAGAACAATTTATTGTCATTAGTAGAAGGTAACTAATGACAATTGTTCTGATTTCGATACATCAGGATCTATTCTTGAATCTCAGGGAGTAGAAATTTTGAGGAAAGAATGAGACAAAAATACAAATTTTGAGCGTTGCAGATAAATAGGAATGACCGGTTTTATTTTCCCTCGTATTCAAGAATAGTTACCCCTAAGTGTATTTGCTTCCTAATTAAATAAAATATTTTGCTTTTTTTATTCTTGTGACAGTTTTATTTTTAACGGCATTAATGAGTTACTTATTACAAAAAATGAACTGAAACACTGCGTCTGGCGACGATCTTTAGAATGGTAAATGAATGGGATGGGATGTTAAGGGACGGGACGGGATGGATGTAGCTCAATCACGCAAGAACGGCTGAACGAATCTGGATGAAATTTGGCACAAAGATAGATTATAATCTGGAATAGCATATAGGGTACTTTTTACTTTTTAAATAAATAAAAATAAATAAAAATAAATAAAAATAAATAAAAATAAATAAAAATAAATAAAAATAAATAAAAATAAATAAAAATAAATAAAAATAAATAAAAATAAATAAAAATAAATAAAAATAAATAAAAATAAATAAAAATAAATAAAAATAAATAAAAATAAATAAAAATAAATAAAAATAAATAAAAATAAATAAAAATAAATAAAAATAAATAAAAATAAATAAAAATAAATAAAAATAAATAAAAATAAATAAAAATAAATAAAAATAAATAAAAATAAATAAAAATAAATAAAAATAAATAAAAATAAATAAAAATAAATAAAAATAAATAAAAATCAATAAAAATAAATAAAAATAAATAAAAATAAATAAAAATAAATAAAAATAAATAAAAATAAATAAAAATAAATAAAAATAAATAAAAATAAATAAAAATAAATAAAAATAAATAAAAATAAATAAAAATAAATAAAAATAAATAAAAATAAATAAAAATAAATAAAAATAAATAAAAATAAATAAAAATAAATAAAAATCAATAAAAATAAATAAAAATAAATAAAAATAAATAAAAATAAATAAAAATAAAATAAATAAAAATAAAATAAATAAAAATAAAATAAAAATAAATAAAAATAAATAAAAATAAATGAAAATAAAAATACACTGTGAAGAAAAATTTTTTAAAAATATAGTTGGTAAATTATCAGGACCTGTAGGTTTAATAGGCAATTTATTAACTTTGTCTCTTATAGTATGCTGAGGTATTTTATGAGCTGAGATGAAATTATTTAAATTTAAATCATTACGTTTATGTACTAGTAGATTTGGAGTACGACATAAAATATTCGGGAACTATATTGCAGACATCCTGTTTATCGGTAACAATTGAATTATTAAATTGAATTGTAATGGATGTTGGACTATTGATCTTAGAGTTTACAAACTGCCATTGATGCTTCAGGTTAGAATTGATGTCATCTTCACAGAACCTGATGTAGCATAATCTTGGTTGATTAAAAATTTTGTACGACCTCTTAAGAGTTTAGGAAATCATGATGTTGTACTTTTTCCATCTAGAGTGATATTTTCTTTCATGATCTTAATAGTTGCTAAGGAATACCAAGAAGGATAATGTCTTATACACTTTTGGTCTTTTTGCGACCGATGATTGGATTACCTCAAAAATAATTTGATTAAATTTTGTATAAGATTCTTCAATTAAAAGCGGTGACAATAATTATTGAAGCCAATTAATGTCATTAAGTTTAGAGTTGATTGCTTCATAATCAGCTTTATTATAATTGTAGACGTGAGTTTTGTTTGTAAAATTATTTGACACTTTATTATTTGATATATTAATACAAAAAGTTAAGGTATGAAAGCAATCCTCTCTTACCAGAGGATCATCACATATAATCAAACTATCTACAACACAACGGTTACAGAAAATTAAGTCTAATGTATTTCGAGACTTATTTATGAAATAGTTGAATTGACGTAAACCAAAGAAAAAAAAACTGTATCAATAAATATATTAGAATTTAAATCGGAATAATTATGAGGTTTACAGATTTTATTTAAGTTATCTTTTAACCAAATTATTTTAGGCAAATTAAAGTCTCCGCATAAAAGAATTAAGTCATTGGGGTTATCTGAGACGATATCACTAAGCTTAGTACAGAATATATTTAAAGATGTTTGATCACCGGGAGGAATATACACACAACCGATATGCACTTTGATTTTTTGAGTTTTTTGGGTAGCACTGTTACCCAAATAACTTCAAAGATAGTTTTTCAGGAATCTTGTGCAAATGAGGAATATTTCTTATTGACGGCAATCATAACTCCACCTCCTTCTTGTTTATGTGATGCAGTTGACTGACGATCTCTTCGAAATATATTAAAAGAGCTACATAAAATTTCATGGTTAAAAATGTTCTCGTTTAGCCAAGTTTAACAGATTATGTCGTGGTCACATGTTAAAAAATTCTTGTAGATAGATGACAATTTAGACTTTAAACCACGCACATTTTGATAAAAAATGTTTAATTTACTGAATTTTGAGGATGGTTTTAATTAACTTTCATATAATGCTAGAGCAAGTTACTTAATTTTAGCGATATCGGACTCGAATGAGAATTTTATTGGTCGGCTGGTGTCAGTCTTCATGATAAAGATCGATGCATTGCGCACCCACACGTATTTAAAATTATTTCGAGCAGCATCTTTAGTTTGTTTTAAGAGTAATTTATTTTGTGAAGTTAAGTGCTCATTAATAAATATATTATTTGAAATATTGTCAACGGACATACCAGCGGAATTTTTATTTGTGTAACTTTGTTTTTTTCATTTTGGAGGCGGCTAAGATTTCATCTCGTTGTTTAAATAAGTAATAATGACAGGGGGTACTCGTCGTAGCGGACTCAACAGTTGTAAGCTGGTTGTAAGGCGAGGATAAGAGAGAGGTAGCAAAAAGAGTAGAAAATTACTAGATTCAAAAGTCCCGCGATTTTTTCGCGCATGAATAATGCGAAATTGTCGACTAAAGGGAAAGGTTGATTATTTTTGTTTCGTGGCATAATCTAATAAATACAACTCTTGGAATCACAATTACACTGAACAACTAAGGTATTACTCCTCGCTCGTTTCTGCAATCACGCAAGTATCATTAAGAGATGATGATAATGATTTTTATTGGTATATAATGATAATATATATATATATATATATATATATATATATATATATATATATATTATTACTTATAATAAAATTAAACTTTATTGAAACGATTTTATTCATTTAAAAGATTCAAACAGATTCTCAACCACCTCCTAAACTGACCGAAGAAGTTGATATGGATAAAGTGGCAGGATTTCTGCACACCATTTACCCGAATTTGAAAAAAGCAATTGACGATTGCAATAATTCGCGTGCTTTTAGAGGATACAAAAGACAGAGCGACATAGAAGAAGTGGAGTGTAAACTTGTCCAAATTGTGAATGCACCCAGAATCGGCGAGGAAGGTGATGTAAGTTAAAATAAAAATAGATTATTGATATATTAAATTTGTGCTCTGAATATAACCAGTTAAAAATTAAAATCCTGTTAGCTAAACTGAGCAATCTTTGTACAACCCGCTCTAATAGTACTAATTAGAAAACACTTCTGCCCAGAAATATATATTTTTGTATTTTAGAGTTCATCAAAAAAAGTATCATCTTTAACGTGGAATCAGTCTGGTAAATCATTGGCGTTTTCTTGCAATTTTGAACACAAATCATGGTGTTATCACCAAGGATCAGTGTACATTTACACTTTATTAGGGTATAAATATATTAAATATTTCATAATGTTTTTTTATTGTTACAATTTTACTTTCAAGCAATGGCAAATTACCGGACCACCCAAAGAAAACATTGACGACAGAAAGTTGTGTGGTCTCATTGAAATTTCATCCGATACGACCAAGTGTATTAGCAGGATCTACTTATACTGGTAAGAATATAAAAGTAATACTAACGATATTATTTTAAAAATACTGTAACGTTTGTTTAATTTAAAAAAAATATTTTTTTAAAACACTTTATTCATAATTTATTTATAACTAATTAATTTATATAATACTTAATTACTATTCTAACTCGCAATTCTAATTTGTTTATTACAATCTATCTTTTCAATACAGCACTTAAATTGAAACTTTCCATCCATCGACAAACCCGCGCTATTTTTATAAAGCTAGCATTGGATTTCATGCCGCGGGCAAGATAGTAAACAAAGACCAGAGTCGGCTTCGCTTCACAATAATTTAAAGCCATGCTTCATTTTTAAACTAGGATTAGCGAATTGAAAAGTCGCATTTTCACAATTTGTAAAAGTTACTAGGAACAGACGGACTAATCACTAAGCAATGGCGGCTCCAAGCTGAATTTTCGGAGGGGGCAATTGCCATTATCCATTCTTAGCATATTTTTTTTAAAGGCTCATGATTATATGAATTTTAATCTCGGAGCCGCCCATGCTTTAAAATACTATTTATGTTTCTAAAGTAGTTTCGGGAAATATTGCGACAACTCCACCCACAATTACATTACGCCTTCAAATAAATTCAGACCGTTACTTATCAATATTTCATTTGTTTATCTGAAGTTTAAAGTAACGTTGACGGAGGTAGCCAGCCCAACAGTCGTAGTCAACCCAACAGTCTTAGCCAACTTAACAGTTGTAGTTAGGACGAGGACAAAAGACACATAGAAAATTAGTTATTAGGAAAATTACTAGATTCAAATCACCAATCAGAAGGTAGCGTTTATGGCACTGAAATAGAATAAAGAGGATGCTATGACGATGCTAAAGAGTCCGCACCTTTGTATTACACTTTTACATCAATGTCAAACTCGAGATATTGGATCTCGTCAGTTTTGGTGAGAATAAATGCCATTTTTTAAATAGCTGCATTTAAATGATATAAAATCATTTTCATTCCGTCAGTCTTCAAATTTAAAATTATTGATTTCAAATAAATCAAAGTAAGACCCAAGTCGCCATTTTTATTACACTTTTCCGTCACTCGAAGTGCGTTTATCTGTCATATCGCAAAATAGCATTTATGTCGTCTCTACTTTATTCTATCTCGATGTTTAAAAAGTTTAAAAATGAAGTATGTAATTCTTATCAGTAGTTGACTAGTAGAAAATATAACTAATGTATCGGATGAATAAACAAATAATTAACAGTATGGTTCTATGGTTCTAGAATGGTTCGCTTTTACACTTTTTTTAGAATAATTAACAATCGTTACTGTAGAAAGTTGGTGAATAGGAACCACTCTGTGTTGTAAATATAAAAAATATTATGATAGTTTTACTATAAATTCTGTATTTTTAAGGAACCGTTGTTATTTGGAATTTTCAAAACGACAGTGGCGACGAGGTAATAGCTACCAAAAGTGTTCATGATGAAGTTGTAACGCAAATTTTGTGGACAAATGATGTTGATCCAGAAAAAACATTACTCTTAGTTACTACAAGTACGGATGGATTGTTGAAATTATGGAGATACGATCCGAACGCTAGAGACGAGGGGCAAATATTAAGTCTTAGAACTAGGTGAATTGTTATCTGTAAAGATTTCTATCCTGTTTTATTTTGAAGTCCTAAAATTAATTTTTGAATTATTTCACTTATCATTATTCCTGTTTCTAGTTGCCGTAATAGATCCCCAGCTAGCACAAAAACATCCCATCTACGTTAATAAACTGCAATTTTAGGCTCTTTAAGCTCGCATGCAATGTACTTTTATTGTAACTCTAATATCCATGCAACCGCCGAATGTCCGCAACGGCAAGACTTTTATAGCACTTCTCATAGAGGTTACAAAGTGAAGTTCGGAAAACATCACACTAGCACTTTTACGGTACTTCCTCCGAAAGTTGCTCTGAAACCTTTTATAGGTGTTATAATGTGAATTCATTATGCAGTGTGTCCAAGGATGGACTTAACAATACGTGTAAAAATATTTATTTTAAATTTTAAAAAAGTACTTCTGCATAATTTCTTTTGCTTGTTAAATAAATACGATTAACGTTGAGAAATTATGAAAAATTACTTTTTTGAAAAATTTAAAATAAATATTTTTAAAAGTATAGTTATGTCCATCCTTGGATACACTATATGTTAAATAGTATATTGAGGATATAGTAAAATCTGAATAAAACAAAATAAAAAATGGTATAAATTTATTATTAAAAAGCTTTTGAAATCAAGTACCAATATCATACAATTAGAGGTAGGTATTAATAATATAGGTATATCACAAGGTAACACAATTACACATGTGTGATACCATAAGGTAGCTATAAAACAATAAAAAATTGGACAAAAGTAGGTATAAATATAAAACGATTGCATGAAAGAGTATATGGAGTAAAATGGTGAACGATTGTACAAAAGTAGTAAAAAATGTATTTATATAAGATATATTTCAAAGGTCAATAGATTTTTATCAAGATGCTAAAAAAAGATATTTACCTACAACTGGTACTAATCATAGTTTTAATATAAATGTGAACTTAATTATATAGTTTCTTCTGTAAAAAATAACTTTGGAAATAGTAAATTTACTTCTATTATTAAAGAAAATAATATGTATAAAGAAAATGAAAAATATATTCGTTTAAATCGTTGCAACTATTTTTAGTTGATTTAAATAATGAAATTTATTTTGATTTTTACAAATTTTATGCTTAATAATGGATGTCCAACTTATACAGAGCTTTTTACAAAAAACAATGTTTTTTAGCACGATATTCTGCTATGAAAGAAAAAGAAATAATTTCAGATTACCTACACATTCTTCTTTAACCAATTCTGTATTATTTACTTTAGCTTCTAAAATTCCTGAGATTTTTACTAGAATTATATTCCAGCACAAAGGAAACCTACAACATAATATTTTTAAAATATATTTTTAGTGATGTATATGTCCAGTGAAATGATGTATTTATACACCAAAACGCCACAAGTGGTAATTCTTTATTTACTGAAACGTAACTACATGAGCACATATATACTGCCGGCCTAACAAGAAAGGTTCTATCTGCAAAATTAGCAGTTTTTTATTTTTGTGCATTTGTCTACATTTTATCTTTTTGATACCGAAACGGAATGTCCTATTTGCATCGTAAAGGTACTAAAATGTTAAAAAGTTACACAAAAAAGGTTTAAAAGTTAATAAATATGTCTGCTAAAACTAGTTAAAAACTCGATTATTTCGAAACAACAAATTTTTAGATAGGATCTTTCTTGCTATAGTCTATTTTTATGTATGAGAAAGTAATAAAACAGCATTTCTAATGCAAAACTTAGTACGGTCATTTTAAATATTTTTACAGAATAATCTAAATATTTCCTAAAATTGTAATAAATGTACCTGAGCTATTACAAGTTTTGGGTCTTTTATTGGTCCTTTATAAACATAAGCTGTACAGAACAATAGAAAAAGGTTTGGACAGGCCAAAAGCCCTGTGTATTAAAGATTACATAGCCGTATCTTAAGATTATTTTCAATAAGTACCTATTTGCCAATTTTGTTTTATTTTAATTCCAAGAATTTCCTACAGTAATCGAATTATAAGTAGATAAATACCTTCCCAACAAATTTCACCGAAAATGCGATTATAGGTTTTCCATTTAGTAAGGAGGTCCAAGTTGTGTATTCTTGACAGTTTACTAAATGTAGTTTAGTTGCAACTTGCAAGGTGCAGTGTGAATTCTAGTGTGATCATGGAAAATTTGGAAGGGCCGCGTAAACGACAAAAAATCGGTCCTTTGACAGTTAATGAAAAAACATTAATATTTAATTGTTTTAAATCATTTACAGACAAACATTTATGTAAAAGTGTTGATGACACAGTGGAATTAGTTAGTAGTACGCTTGGTGTTGGGAAATCTACGATTTACAGAGTTGTTAAAGAAGAGAAATATGGCGAGTTTCAAACAGCACGTAAAGCTCCAGGAAAACCAAAATTTCAATTAGAACATCTTTTGAAAGAAAGACTTCGAAGGAAAGTGCATGCGTTCTTCTTTAGAAAAGAATTTTCGACGGTAGACAAAGTTCTTGCCACGGTTCGAGATGATAAGGATTACCCTGAAGTGAGTCGAAGCACACTATGGAAACTTTTAAAAGAAATAGGTTTTCTATGGAAAAAGCATTCCAGAAAGTCTATTTTAATAGAAAGAAGCGATATTGTAGTATGGAGAAGAAATTACCTAAGGACTATAAAAGAAATGAGAAACCAAAGAAGAAATATATTTTATTTAGATGAAACATGGATCAACGAGGGACATAAACCAAATAAATTTTGGCAAGATGAAACTGTTACAAGTCGAAGACAGGTTTTTTTAAATAATTTATCTACTGGTTTAAATCCACCATCAGGAAAGGGGCGCAGACTAATAATAGTACACATCGGTAGTTCAAACGGTTTTGTTAAAGGTGGTTTACTGACTTTTGAATCTACTCGTACCGGTGACTACCATGAGGACATGAATGCTGATGTCTTTAAAGAGTGGTTCGAACAAATTATAGATCTTCTTCCTCAAAACTGTATAATAGTAATGGATAATGCAAGTTATCACTCGAGACTTATAGAAAAAATGCCCACAACTAAGTGGTTAAAAAAAGATTTACAGAATTGGCTAAATTTAAAGAATATTAAGTTCCATCCCGGTTCTGTGAGAAAAGAACTGTATCATTTGTGTTCCCTTCATAAAGAGAAATTAAAAAAATATGAAATTGATGAAATTGCAAAAAAATCGTGGGATGACGGTGGTTAGATCACCACCATATCATTGCGAAGTAAACCCGATTGAACTGATATGGGCACAGATAGAGAAGTTTCAAGAAATAATAATTCTTTTAAAATGAGTGATATTAAACAGTTGTTTTTGGAGGCTGTAAATAATGTGAAGCCTGAAAACTGGGAAAAGGCAGTAAATCATACGATTAAAGAAGAAAAGAAAATGTGGAAGTTGGACAATATTACTGATGAAATGATCGAGCCACTCATTGTAAATATTGGTTGGACAGTTCATCTTCTGATTTCGATTCTGATTTGGATTTGTAGGTAAGAAGTAGTTTTTATATTAAAATTATTATTTATGAACGTAACGTTGTTTACAAGTCAAAGTTTAAACCCTTATACCTACATAACCCGTTTGACACAATGTTCTTAACATACCTTGTGGAAAATTAAAACATTTTAGAAAAAATTGCACTTTTTTACCTTCAGCTGTTTAGAAGTTATAAGCAGGTTAATTAGGTGAAAATATAAGTGTATACTCGAGGAATAACTTCAAAAAATATTTTAACTGTCTACTAAAAGAAGTGATACGCCTATGGATTACGAACGCTTTATTATTTTAATACTCTCTCATACATAAAAATAGACTATAGGACGGCAGTATATGACTTCTGTTTTTGTATTTTTATAGTTGGGAGTAGGGTTATGAGCAGAGATAACAAGAGGTTATGAGTATCGGTCGAAGGTATCTATATCGATATACGGTATTATGTGAGATACTTTGTGGTAGAGGCATCGATACTGTTCGATATTATGTTAAAGATATCGATATTTATAAGTATTGAGCAACAAAGTATCGAACAAGTAAAAGATTTGTTTTAAAACGGCTGACAACCGACAACCCCCATTCAACAGGGCGAAGTGGGGAACTTAACAAGGCGAGTTCGGATAGTCAGGGGCTGGAGTGGGACAAAAGCGGAGTTTTTTTGGGGTGTTTTTAAATGACATTTAAGCGTGTTAAACTGTCACTAATCGGACTAAACCGAACGCTAAAAGGGTCGTTCGGAGTAAAAAGTGTTGAAGGAGTTAAATGAACTTGGCAGACCGAACGCAATGAATATAGTTGCATCAGTAAAGTATAGGTGTGTTCTTTTATTCAACAGTTGTTCCATCAGTGTTTGATGTCATGACGTCACTGATTAATTTCTGGTGGAAAGTATTTGCCCTGAAAATAAGAACGAACGACATTTCTCAAATGAAAAATTTGATGTGTGACATCGCTTTAAAAATAAAACCCATTTTAATTAAAATTAACAGTAATTTATCTCTTCTACAGTCCTTTTTATTTAAACTCTTATATTTTAGGTTAACTTTTATCTAAATAATCGTGTTTACACGTTCAAACAAATTAATTAACTATTTCCTCCATTCATCCATCACATATCCATCGGCTTTTAAAGCCGATGAATGCATTGGCTCATTGGTGAACGGTTTTATTCAAGCGCTGGATACAGTGCTGAATAAAAGAACACTCCTTATTATATTCTGTAGTTGACAGTTGTTAATGACACCCTTTCTTTCTTTACTGGTACTCTACCTGGTACTGATATTAGTTATAGTGTCAATAACTGGCAATTTACCTTATAATTAAATTACAAAAAAAACAGTGGTAACGCTTAATCATATCAAGGTCCGTTCCAAGTTCCACCACATGCGAAAACTATAATATTTCGGTATAAATCATGCACTGTATGCAATTTTTAGGTTGAGCGCATGATTTGTACGGTTTTCACGCATATTTGAACAAATCTTATATTATCCTAGGTGACCCTGACCACACTCACACACATAGCGATACGTTACTTGCTTCTAAGTATCGATACGGCGATAGTATTGGTAATTCAGTATCAATGCCTAAATATCGATACTATCATTGTTTAATATCGTTACTTATATAGTATCGAGGCATCGATAAGATCCCTATTATCGTGTAAAATGTAGGCAGTAATTTAATTTTATCTTCTCGTTTACAATGATTTATTTTTTATTGTAGTTGAAAATATTGCAATCTAAAATAAGAGACAATAAATTAGAAAATATGTTTCTATTTTATTGAAAAGAAGAAAAGAACTTACCAAACTTATTCAAACGTATAGTTCACAAATTCTTTAAAATCTCAAATACATAACACAAGAAAAAGTGATAAGTGACATTTTTTTATGATTTGTTATGTTATGACATGACAAATGAATGGCTTCATTTGAAACCATATGGTGTTCACAATACTTCTCGTCGATACTTTTTTATCAAATTTCTTTATTACGTTGTGTTATCATAATAGGTAGGTTAAATACGTAAGTAACAAATATAAGTTTTGCGAGATTTTGATTTCCCTCAACAACTTCTCATTTACGTTGTATAGTAATGTTATTAGTTATTACGTTCCCTTAAAACAACATCGCCGAAAGGCTTGGCAACGTTATGTGCTAGCTGGGTATGTTTCTTTTCTTCTTTTCTAGGTGAAACACAAATTTATTATATAGTTCTGCTATTCTTTAGATCCATTTCCTTCTATTCTTTATTTTAGTTTTTTAATAATTATTTTGTAATAGCACTTATAGTCTAGAGAAGAAAGGAGTGCCGTAATTTAATTTGTAGAACGTAGTACAGGTTCAAGAGGTAGACATTTTATTTATCCCTCATCCTTCAATGCTTATTTGTAGTTAAAATGAAAATTTTAATACATCTGATCGGCATAATAAAAGTTTTCGTTTAGATTTAATCATGTTTCCATGCTTTTTACTGTAATAAACCTATTCTTTTGACAGATAAGCTAGACTTTATTGGTTTTAGAACATTATAAAAAAAATTCCAGCCATCTCCGTTATTGTTTTGGATAATGCATCCTATCACAGTCGATTAAATGAGTCACTACCTACAACAAGATGGAAAAAGAAGATATTTTAAAATGGCTTCATTCTAAAAATATTATCAGTCCTCCTCACATACTTTGATTTTCTTTTACTATACCGAGAATGGTCTGACAGGTTAAAACGACTAAACCGACAATTCCGGAAGCAGAAGCGGATGATTAAAACGCACCTGATATTTTGCATGCTGCTGTCAGTGTCAGTGAATGTTGTTTTTGGAGTCACAGTTTATTGCTAAAGAATCAGTTAGCTCACTCGGACCAGTTGAAAGTTCCAAAATAACATCCACTCCAGGGATACAAATTCAGGATACGCAGAAGACTTCTGTTTTATTATAGGCGGTTGTCATATACTGTATTATCTGAGTTGCGCAGTGTATAAACTGGAACATTGAGATCAAAAGTGCCGACGCAGAGTGAGCGATCTGATTCTTTAGCTATAAACTGTGTCATAGGGTTCAAAATGGCCGCGCCCTATGTTGGGCGTGTCGGACCTCTCTCTTGCCCCGTATAGTAATCAAAGTATGTGGTCCTCCTACATCCTTGAAGGCAGAATTACTCGTAATAGTAAGGTAATATAAAAACAAATTTAAAAAATATATTATAGACGAGATGGCCCGAGAAAAAAGGAATTGAAAGTCTCAGATTGCCTCCTTACCACGCAGAGATAAATCGCATCTCGAAACAATACAACATTTAAATTACCTAATGTGTAAAATTTGTTTTTGAAGGCAATTTCAGATATAAATGGAGAACATTGGAGAAAATTCAATGATCATGTTAAAAAGGTGGAAAATTCATTTTGGAAAGTGGATATAGTAATGAAAAACTTAATAGACCTTATAATAATGAACTTTAGGAAAAACAGTGATAATGATACCAGTAGTTATAGTGAAGACAGCGACTTTTAAAGATAGTTTTTGAACTTTTAATAACTTTTATAATCTGTAATTTTAGGTACTGAAGTGTTACTTTTAATGCCAACAGATTAAAACAAGTTAATTCCATTAACAATATATAATCCTCCTTATTTATTGGTTAAATTTAATTCGTTCAATGTTAAAGTGCAACAATTTTGTCCGAAGCATTAGGTATTTTTATTTTTTGTTAATAATATAACTTTTTTCATACATAATTTAATCTACGAAGTGCGTATATTCCATTTTATATGCCGTGACCTTATTTATATTATAGAAACTTATTTTGCAAAGTACGTCTATAGAATGTGACGTTATATCCCTACTTTTACTGCACTCCTCTTTTATTCAGACTATAGTTAATGGTATACAAATTAAGACCCAGTTCTCGTTAAAGTTTCTAATCTATTTCAGGTATAAGGTAAAACCTCCTTTGTTTAATAATATGCAAAAATATGAACCTGATAACGATGAAGAAGCTCCATTACACATCATTACAAAAGAGTCAAACGGAGTAGTTTGCTTCGATTTTTCAAATTTTTTTCCAGACATGTTTTTGGTTGCCTTAGAAGGTGGTTATGTAGTTCAGTGTTCTCTGTTAGGGGCTACAGAGCTAAAAGGTAAGCAAACAAGTTTTTTTCGAAAAAAAATATTGTTTTTCGGAATTCATCAATAAGTACCAGTAAGTTACAACTATCTCGCATATATCCAGTCAGACTATATACCGGGTGTTCAAATTACAGTGTTACAGTTAAATACCGTCGAAAATAAGCTTTTTACAAAAAAAAGTTTTAGACAAAAGTTTTATAGTTTTTTGGGGGAAACATTTTGGCTAAATTAATTTTTTATAGCTGGGCCATAATATGGCCATATCGAGGTAAACTTTTTTTTTCAAATTGGAACTCCATTTTTTTACATAAAGTTCATAAAAAAATAAGTAACTTTTAAAGGAAACATTTTTTTTATTGGACTTTTATTTATTGAGTAACCTACTTAAAAATTTTGCTGCGCGAAAATGAAGTTGGCCATATTATCGTTAGCTATAAAAAACGATTTTAGCCAAATTGTTTTCCTCAAAAAACTATAAAACTTTCGTTTGAAACGTTTTTTTTTATACAAGGCGGTATTTAACTGTAACACTTTAATTGGAACACCCGGTATAACATAAACTAAAACTAACTAAATATAATATAATATATTCCACACCTCCCTCTTGAGTGCGTGTATCGATAAAGCTATCTATATCTATAGTTTTCTGATAAATCTTCTGTTTCTAATTAGAATTCGCCCGCTTGGAGTTTTGATGGTGTATTTTCTATTCTTCTCCAACTCAACTACCTCTCCAATTGTATTCCATAATTTCGTTCTTTGTCTTGTATTCTAACTTTAGCTCCTGCCGCGATCGAGCATAAGTTTTTGGCATTTTGGTTGTAATGTGAAACAGCTTGCTCATGTGCCTTCTTTTGGCATCCATATTTATAACAGCGTCCTGTCATTCCTTAGAAAATGCCTTATAATGTGCTGGAACCTCATCTAATGGGACTTCCAAATAATATTTGGGCTGGGGAACGACCGTCAGATTTGGGAACGTTTCGCATGCCCATTACTTTGTGGGTACTGAGGGCTGGAGGTGCAATGAACAATGTTCCATGTTTTTAAAAATGAACTGAATTCAAAAGAACTAAACTGAGGGCCAGTTTCGGAACGAAAACGTAATGGCATACCTGTATCAGAAAATATTCTCCTTAAGTCGTTGCATATCATTAAACTATTAGGATCGCTAGTGGCATACTATAGGCCACCCTAGTGGCATACTATAGGTCAACCAGATAACCATATAATTTTTTTCCTGAACACGAAAAAATTAACTGGTACATCTTGGAAAGGTAACGACGGTAACGGATTGCTCATGTATGTCTCTTTCTGTAGAGACGGTCTGACTAGCTGAGATGACTCACAACCTTCTACGGTGTTCTTTAGGTCATAAATAATTTTGGCCAGTAAACTGTCTGATGTGCTCGACGTCTCGTCCTCTCTATTTCTTGATGAGAGTCATGTAATCTTTCCAGGGCAATTTTTCTTGCAACTGACGATACTTTTAAAATTAACCCATTGTCAACGCTTAGCTCATTTTTGATACTCCAATTAGGTTTTAATACTGAATTTACGGCATTCCTTACTTCAAGAAAACCTTCCTTTATGGTTCTTATCAAGACCTGATAAACGTCATCACTTTTTGCGGCTCACTAACATAGGGTCCTGAAGGTGCGACAATAATAAGTGACTGAATATGCGTATTGACTTCTTCTCCTATTAAGTCTTTATCCTCCGGAACATCTATTGGTGCTCTGGAAAGCGCATCTGGGATGCAGTGATCCTGTCCTTTGATCCGTTCTACTTTGAAATTGTATCTACATAATTTTTCTTTAAGCCGCTGTAGACGAGGATTTTCGATCATATCTAATGTATAAAAATTCAAGATAGGTAATAAGGGTTTATGAGCAGTGATAATTTCAAAGTAACTTAGTCCAAGCAGATACAGTCTACACTTTCTAACTGCCCATACTATAGATAAACGGTCTCTTTCTAACATTGAGTATCTATCTGGTCTCCATGTCTGATAAAAATCGAGACCCGCATTGGATTAATTTTAGACTTCAGTTATTATGTTTTTGCAGGAGTGCATAGCCTAGACCACTTAACAGATTGTAGTAATTCGAACAAGGATTCATTAATTGGAAGAGTTTCCCTTTTTCCCTATAAAAGGACATAAAAGACTCTTCTGGCTCCTGCTTTCTATTCAGAAATTGACTACATCTTAAACGACCATTCTCTTTAAAATACTCTTCATTGTCATCGAATTTCAGAACAAGTCTTACTACATCGGAGACGTTTTGACTAAAAAAGGACTCAAGTGCCAAAAACTGTTTTTCCGGTATTTTTTCCACGTTTTGAAAATCTAAATAATTTTCAAATTTACGCCTCCAGTCCTTAAATTGCGAGTAACTTAAGTCTCTAAAATCTTTTCTGGACTTGATAAGCGAACAGAAGTATTAGGTGAGTTTTCATTTGTAGGAACGCTTGTATCGTTCCCTCTATCATTACCATTAAATGCACTAATGTTCTGTTGAAAAAGTATTATTGCATCTGCAGCCCTTTGAGTCTTGTTTATTAGTTCTCGCATCATTTCTTGCAAACTCTGCACACCTTCTTCAAGCGAAGTCAGTCGACCCTCAGTTGACTCATATTTCTCAGATGATTTTGCGCGCTTCTTCGGCATTCTAAGTATTCGTTTTTAGGTTTTCTTTTTGAAACGTTTGGTTTATAATTATGACTACGCCATGGTAAGTTACACAATAAAAGATAAGGCCTTTTGTATCTGACAATTCACTATTTATTTCCGTCAGATCAACCAACTCGCATAGACCCAGTCAGTCTACGTCCACATATAACATAAACTAAAATTAACTAAATCTAATAGACATTGCTAAATCTTCTTCTTCTTCTTCTTTTTCTTCGTCTTCTTTTTCTTCTTCTTATTCTTCTTATTCTTCTCCTTCTTCTTCTTCTTCTTCTTCTTCTTGCTGCCATGTCGATTAGATAGCCAAAACGGACCAGATAAATAACAAATAGAATTATTACGCTATCTATTTGACAAAAGATTTCTTAACTATGACACATAAATGACATATATCGAAATTAGTTATTGCTACGAATATTAGAGTGTGCCACTGTGGCCTTAAACTATCAAATCAAGTTATCCTCATGGTACAATACCGAAGCGGTAATAACGGCTACGGTCGACTAGAGTTTAAACAACCGGAAAATAAATTAATTTCAGGTCTTTTTAGGTAGTACGAAATATGAACCGTTATATGATCCGTCCTTTAAATATTACGAGCCACATCAGGGAGAAGTAATTTCCATTGCTTTCTCTCCAAATCGCAAAGAACAGTTTATGACTTATGGGACTGATTCTGAAATAAGAATTTATTTGCTAGGCCAGGTAATAATATTATTTATCTACTCCTATGAATTTATATATTAATTATTCAACTGCTTTTGAGCAATTAATAGTATCAATAAACAAATAGCGTGAGTTTTAATAGTGAGTTATTATAACTCACGCTGGGTTCCTACGATAATTCGGTTTGTAAATAGATTGTGCAGTAAATTGTTGGAAATTTTAAAGCCGATAAATACGTTCCATTGGCGTAAAATGTTAGAAAGATTTTTTAACAAATGGAAATGAATGAATAATTAAAAGATTTAAAAATTATTAAATTGCCAACACCTCTCAGTAGGCGAAACAGTCAATTATTATCATTGAGGGGAGCAATGCCATTTGATATTTTAACAAGATTATTTTAACGTTTTCAATTCAATTTCTAATAATAGTGCTAAAAAAGAATAATTTAGATAGTGAAGATGAGTTATTATGTACACCTCCAGAAATAAGAGAAGTAGCTAATAATACAATAAAGGACTTATTACCAAAAAAATCAAAAAGTAGGCATACAACTACAATTTTTATATATTTGTTACAACTATTAAGATTTGTGAATAAAGTTTTTTCACGATACTTGCATCTTAGTATTTATTGTTATAGTGGTAGATAAAGTATAGTATTCAACTTGCGGTAATTTTCATAACTGCAAGTATATACTATTTTTCATTTTATCACTAAAAAAGAAATGTTTCCTTATTTTTTTTGTATTTATGTATCAACATTATCGTATTAAAAAATAAAATTTTATATAATTTTAAAGTTAAACAGATTAGGGTAGGTGTAGGAGTAATTTTTGAAACAGTTGGTTTGATAATAATTTCTTGTACCTAGTGACACCTATTTGCTCTGTATTTGTATTAGAAGTTTCAAACTGTAACTACTTAAAAAAAATTGCTGTCAACATAGTTGAGACATCCTGTATAGAAATTTTGGGATATCTAAAAGGTTTTGAGATAAACCAAAATTTCAAAAATCAATAGATGACATTTTAAGTTTAAAAAAATTACGGCAAAAATTATTTGCATTGTCAGATTTTCTGTCGAAGGAAAAAAAATGTTTTTAATATTATAAAGTGTGTACTATAAGTTTAAAAATGATTTAGGCGTGTATACAGGGTGTTCCAAAATGTGTCAATATTGAAAGAGGTAATTTCTTGGCGTATTTTATGACTAAAATTTTATACAAACATTATTATTAATAATTTTTCATTCTTCTTAAACATTACTTTTTTTAAGATAGGTACAGTAGGGTTGGTTGGACTTCGGGGTTAAATTCTCTTATTACTACAAACAACCCCCATGCCAATTTTAATAAAATTCGTTAAAAAAATACTTAGAATGTTGACTTAATAATTATAAGGACACCCTGGTTACAGGGTGGCCATTTTTTAATTGAAATACAATACTATCTCAACACAAAGTTGATTAAATGGGATTATTTATTTAAGGAGGATCCAGCACAATTAATTTTTCTCAAAACAACTTTATTGGACGTGACGTTTGTGCCTTTCGAAGATAAACTAGTAGCAGGGTGTGGCCTCAATGGATTCATGGAAATTTTCCATGTCCAAAAAGCCACACGAATCGAAAATGGTGCAGAGATTCCGGTTAAAAAAAGAAGCGTTTCTACTAGTCTTTCAATAAACGCGGCAAGGTAAGTGGAATGTTTTGTTACATTTAAATTGGCCTGTTAACTTTGGGGCGTCAATTGATAGATCAAAATTAAATTTCAAAAAGTATCTAAAATAATTTACGGTGTAAAAATAAAACGCACACATTCAGATTGCCTGATGAACAGCCTTTGACAGCCGGTTTTACTCGAAGTGGAGAAGGCGATGTGTGTTTAGTAGCAAATTTACAGTAATACGGGCTCTTGTGTATGCACTTTACGCAAATAAAATATCCTATTTTTTTAATTTAAAATCCTAGGTAATTGTTGTTGTCTGTAATGGCTCGTAAATGTTATAATGCATTTAACAACTTCAACTCATATTTTTTACTTCAATGTACACGTTTTGTTTCTAAGTTAACGTACTGCTCACATTTTAACACGCTATTTACAATTAAGATTTTAGACGTATTTTCGGTAACAATGTGAAAGTTGAAAATTAAATTTAGAATGTATAAGGCATTATTGTTTCATATTTATACTCTGTACTGTAAAATATTCGGGAAAATCTTGGACACATCGATTTTTAAGCTATTGCATAGCTTTAATTGCGGGCTTTGAGCGCGGCGACCAAATCAAGAAATTCCGTAACGACCGTAACGAAAATAAACCTAACACCACTCCAAACGGCACAGTGGTGCGACGTTAAACAATAAAAGAAAATCGAAAAATCGAAAAATCGAAAAATCGTAAAATCGTAAAATCGTAAAATCGTAAAATCGAAAAATCGAAAAATCGAAAAATCGTAAAATCGAAAAATCGAAAAAGAAATTCCGTAACGAAAATAAACCTAACACCCCCCACTCCGACCGGCACAGCGGTGCGGCGTTGAAAGCAGTGCATCGTCTAACGTCGTTTCAGTTCGGCAGACTTCGGCACGGTGTTTGTGTATGCATGTAGACTAGCTGCTAACTGCTCATAACTGATTCTATCTCTTTTAGACACAATTACGGAAAAATTGAATTTGAAAATGAATAATGATCCACAAGAATCCACAACAAAATATGGGGTCGCATGGACGCGGTATTTTCCAGATATTTAGAGGATATCAAGTCTCAAAATTATGTTTCTTATTTCATTTACCATAAACCTATAGTTTCAATGATAAAAATTCCTGAATAACCTACATGTATTGTAAGAATAAAAATATTTTAAACAATATTAACTTCTCATTTATTCAATAAAAGAAAAAAAAAATGGTTGTCTTATCGGTCACCACGCTCAAAAAGTGTAACTTAAATTAATATCAAAGAAAAAAAATACTGCATAAATAAAATAAATAATTATAATTGCATAAGTTGATAAAAAACGCTATGCAATAGCTTTACCGCGGCAGTTCCTGAGTGCCACACGTATTTTTATTTCTGATGAAGTACATTTTTATTATAAAAATGTCATTCCATATTTCAACGTCTGCGCGGGTTAGCTACTCCCATGAATATTTTAAATAATATTGGTTGATTGACACCTCATTTGAAATTATTTTTAATTCTCTATTTAAGCGGTTTAAATTAACTTCATTAGTTTTTATTTTAAATAAATTTGAAATAAACTAAAGAAACATGGTATTAGTTAATTATTATTTCTGTCAGTCTTACTGGATAACTGAAGTATCAATTGTTCAAATAATGATTCGCTTCAATTAATTTCCAGCAAATAAACATGGAAAATTAAGAAAAATCTGAATAATCTGATAAAGCTTAGTTCTGGAAATATAAAATTCTGAAAAACTCTTTATGATCTTCAAATTGACATTTAATAAAATAAATTGTTCATAACTTAATTTCTGTTAAAAAAATAAATTGTGGTTTTACACTCTTATGTGAAACGATTTTGTACCTTTTCACACATTTGTATTGGAAATAATAATAATAGTTTTTTTTTTCAGAAACAATTTGGTCGCTATTGGTTCTGCAAATGGTGACATTCAGCTGTGGACTATACCCTGGAGTTCTTTGGTTAACAAATAATTTTAGAACATAATTTTTCTATAAAAATATACGTGTATATTATGTACATAACATAATATGATCTGATTATATTAAATGATAGTTTCAACAGAAAAATTTTAAAATCTTTATTCGCCACATCAGTTATTATGTTTATAATTTTATGATATACTGCAATGTTATACCGTGTTAACTAACCTCTGTTTTGGTTGTTAAGGAAGTCATAAAACGGGTAAAAATTTTAACAACAGTTATGAAAAAGGTAGTAAATTGCAGTATATCACAAAACGTTGCACAATACACGCCCGGTACCTGATCTCTACGTGCTCGCTAGCGCTCGCATATTAACGACCGTGCTCGAACGTAAAGATCTAAGTAACGGGCTTATAACGTAAACTATTATTAACATATTACTTCTCAGGCTACTTTGAACCAGTTTCTTTTTTAAAAAATATAAAACTAACTTCGGTTAAGCCTTAAGTGTTCCTTGTACAACCAGCCCTTAATAATTAATTGCGTCCTAATTTAAATTTTTGTTTGATTTCAAATCGGCCAGCTAAATTATTTTTACAATTTTACTTTACTTCGTTTAATATAACTATTAACACCTTTAATTCCACCCACTAGCTTTTAATAATGACTATTTTTTAAGTTAATTACATCCCATTTAATTACACCTGGGCTGTAACTTCGGCAGTATCGCTCCACAGTCGATATTTCATTTTGGAACAAATAATGCTATATATTTTATTTTAGAAAATCTCCGTCACTGAATTATGATGTTATATTGGGGTTTATCTCCTGGGTCATAAAATTTTGCTATCATTCATTTTCAAATAAACTATAATTATTAACCTATTCGTGAGAGTCACCATTTTAGATGACCAAGTTCGTAGGTATAAATAAAAAATACTAACGGACTGGAATCAGTCTAATGTTGTCTTTGTACGATTATACATACATCATTGCGAAATTTGAATTTGCTGTTACAATTTGTTGATAGCAAAATAGGTCACAAAATGCTTTTATACAATGGTCATATACATTCTCGAGAGAAAATTAGTAGAGAAAAAGTTATTTGGAAATGTTCTCTATAACATAAATGGAGATGTACCGGTCGTATTCATACTATAAGCGACGAAATTGTAAAGAGTAATGAACATAATCGTGTATCAGTGCTGATGTAGAAGTAAGAAGATAATGAAAAATTCTTACAATACAACCAGAGAGGGAATTGTTAGAACAAATAATGCAGTGGAAGGATGGCACAACATTTTTAGTTCCATTGCTTCTAATGCACATCCCAACATTTGGAGGGTAATTAAGGCTGTACAAAAGGAGGAGAGTCTTAACAAATTAAAAATTGTTCACCGATATGTATGGAGTGGAGAGGTAAGGGTATATATCGTCGTTGTTACTGAAATAGGTGGTATGTCAAAAAAAAAAAGAATTTTCAGGAGATACAAAACTAGTAATCATTTGTAGGTTCTTCCTACATTTATTATTGGGTAATCGGCTTTCGCAGTACGTTAGAAGCGGTTATTTTAACTGGGACAAAAAATTTTAAGCTAAAAATTGTATTTTTTTTAACATACGACCTATTGCAGTAACAGCGACGATATGCTCTAAGAGTATAGCACAAAAAACTAAAAATTACATCATAAAAAGCCATAAAAAAAATTTTGATAATAGACGACATCAGTGCTTTTCGTCGTCTGATTTACATATGGGTGAGCTATCTATATAACTATATATCATTTGATCTTTTCCTTTTAGTACACGAGCGCCATCTTAATTTAATACATTTTGGGGGACACTTTTTGAGATAAACAACCATATGAGATCATGGACATCATATTACCTATCCTCCTCTGCTCTAGACTCCATAGATACGACGATTAACACGTCATCGTTACTTCTGTATCTGTAACATGTGGAGGATGGGTTACCCTCACGGCACGTAGGCTTCACTAGGCCCATTGTGCATCCTCCTAAGATGGCACCTCCTAGGTCGTGAGCCAGCCTATAGATTTAATGTAGTTGACAAAAAGAAGTGCTTCTCTTATATCATATGGTGTTATCCGATACTCGCCGAACACAAATCTAATAAATGAGAGAGTCGAGCAATCGTAAAGGATTAGCTCTATGGTCTCATCTTCTTGTTCACACCCTCTGCAGAGTGCGGGTTCTGACAGCCCTATGATATGGAGATGCTTCCATACTTGGCAATGACCAGTCAGAATGCCTGTGACTAGGCGCAGATTCTGTCTAGTCATAGTCAAGTATTTGTTTGCTGCAGGATAACTTAAGAGCTCCCTGGCAACTCTGCAGTTTCTTGTTTCATCCCATCTTTCCTTGAATTTTGTCAGGCCAATAGAAGGGCCAGGTCCAAAAAGTATCTGGTTGGCTGCTTTCTTGGCTAGTGAATAAGCAAGACACCTTTCGATGTGACTTGACCTTTGATTCATCTTAAGGTGACCACATTGTTGATGGATACTTCGGCCAAAGCTTCGTGACATTCTAGTACTAACCCTGAATAAATTCGTGGTCTGTTCAGGGTGAGTAGTGCTTGTCTGCTCTCTGTATATATGAGCATGTTATTTCCAGTGATATTGTTTCTGGTGATTTCTTTTGCTGCTATGATAATCCCCGTTAGCTCTGTTTGAACTACACTGGCACTATTGCTTACAGCCCATTTTATATTTAGGTTTAAGAATCTGGAGTATATTTCACATCTTGAGTCTTGTTTTGTTTTAGAACCATCGGTGTAGATATGAATCGTACCTGCCACTTTGGGATCTTCTATTTGTTCTGTTATAACTTTATATGGTTTATGGAAGATATATCTCAGTGATATGGAATCCATGTTCCCTTGAAGCAGTAGTAGCGTATCGAGCGCCTCCTGCCAAAAGCGACGTCTCGCCTCACCAGACCCAGACTTTACATCAGCTTCTATTCCAACCTTGCGGAAGCGTGTCATTGTCGTCAGAGCAACCTCCTTGATGTAAATATCAAGGGGAGTGAGACTAAAAATGACTTCCATGACTCTGGTCGGTGTTGTTTTCATGGCTCTTGTTATGTTGAGACATGCTGTTCTTTGAATTTGTTCTAGTTTACGGATAGCTGTTAATTTTTGGGTTTTCGGTACCGTATGTTAGCATATGTCTTATGATAGCTGTGTAAGTCCATATGACTCCTCTGAGGGAGAAACCCTAGGTGCACCCCGCGGTTCGGCTGCATTGTTCATAAGTAATGTATGCTCTTTTGACTAAATGCGAGTTCCATGTTAACTTGCTGTCAAAAGTGAGACCTAGGTACTTCACGTCTGTTGCAAAGTTTAGTTTTGTGTTTAGGAGTACTGGAGGTTTTAATTCCATTTTCATTCTTTTCCTTGTGAAAAGGACTATTTCTGTCTTCTTAGGATTGATAGGCAGTGAATGGTCCTTGCACCACTGTTCTATAATTTTTAGAGCTACTTGCATTCTTTCGCAAAGTATGTTCTCAAAATTCCCTGTTTGCAGAATGACCAAGTCATCTGCATATGCTATTGTGTAGTGACTGTCATTATTGAGGCGGCTTATGAGGGTGTGGATCTTTTGAGAGAGCTTTTTGAAACCTCGCTGCCTGCGGGATATCTCTCCGCTTTGAATTTTGAGGTTCTTGCAATATTAAAGGATTTCCTAGCCATATTCATAAGTGTTGAAATTTGATGGGTATGGCTAATTATTTTTTAATTAAAGCTAAATAGGGCTGAGGGCATACTAAGACACGGTTTAAATGAAAATATTTAATTAGGAATTTTACAAAATTTTATGAAAATAATAAAAATCAAATTGTTCATTGCTAACTAAAGCACAGAAAATTCTGTTGAATTTAATTATTGTAAATAAGTCTTTGTTTTAATTGCTAACTAAAGTACAGAAAATACAGTTGGTATTAATTATAAATGAGTATGTTAAACATTATTTACTATTCATTATTTAATTTTATCTAAATAAAATGAAAATTATGTATTACCAAATTTGAAAAGGTTTCTTAAATGGTGAAATTTGGTAAGTACAGTTTTGTGGTAATTTTGTATTCGACAACTACAATTTCATCATCCTGGTGAATAGTTTCTTCAGCAATAGGTTCTAGTATTTTCTTCCTTTTTTTTATTCTAACAAATTCAGTTCGGTTCAATGGCGGTTTTCGTCTTTTCCTAATACTGGACAAGTATGAAGGGAGATTCGGGAATATACATCGTATTGCTTCGTTCTTTAATCTCGGCCTTTCCCTTTTTATTTTGTTAACAGTACCATTAGTTAAAATAGTTTTATCAAATTTTAAAATATCATCTTCTAAAAAGTGTAGCTCGCAAACTGAATCATAACTAGACAGTACTTTATCAGCCCTAGGAATCACATGCTGCCATTGTTCTAAACGGTTAGGATCCTATAAAAAATATTTGCAATGACTAAATTGGAGTTCAATAAAGAAACATAACAGTAGTAACTCTTCATCTAACATCAAAAAACATAAAAAAAGCAAATTTTATTTTCTAGTAAGTGAAATTTAATGTGTAATTATTTTTGTTTGTAAGTCAGGATTTATGACTTTATTATTTTTTATTATAGAATTTTGTAATTAAATAAACTACACTCCGTAAGATACGAGTTGTGACAAATTTACAATAAATATATATTATTTAGAAATAAATACATTATTTTACTTACACTAGGAGTTTTAAAAAGACTTGGATTTTTATCTCCTTGTGATTTCTTTAATTATATATCGGATTTATATCCCGTTTTGCAACCAGAAACGAAGCAAATCCTGCTTTAACGTTTTTTGTTACTCATTGTTACTTGTAGTCAGGTTCTTTATTTCAGCTTATTTTTATTCTTTTCACAAAATTTTACAAAAATCACTTCAATTCCCATTGACTTGCATAGAAAATAGACGTCGTTATTTTGCCACCCGCCAACTACAGTAGTTTTTTGGAACTTCATAAAAATTGGGACGGAAATTTGAAATTTGACCAAGGCCGATTCGCCTCCTTATCTCTAGTCTTCATATGTTTTACATTTGTCATTTCATTTGACATTTGATGCCTGTGATGACCTCCGAGCGTAGTAATTGCTCGGAGGTGATGACCGCAGATCTCTGACCACGATTATATTCACTGTAGTCATCAGAGATAAGGGAGATAAAGATAGGAAACGCCCATATGTCTCAGTGTTGCCAAGTGTACGATTTAATAACTCTCTTTACGATGTACGATTGCATCAGTGAGATCGTACGTAAAAATAAGATCTTCACTTTTTTAGTAGGTTTATTTAAATATCTGCAACAACTTCAGAATATAAAACAATAAAAATCAAAAACTACTTGCAAAAAGATTCATAGGCCGTTCGTAATTTCTGAAGGCAGTCATTTTTGTTCTGACTTATCGTGATTTTGACCATGGTGATTTTGTACACCGGCTATCACGGCATAAGAAAAGCTTGCATGCAAAATTTCAATCACTTTCGAGTGACAGTCATTGATTACTTTAAATGTGTTACTTTAAAGTTTCATGTATTTTCTTTAGTTTTTTTTTCGTTGTAAACATTTTTATTAATAGATAAATAAATTATCATGCCAAAGTTTTTTTTTATTTTTTCATTCCATTTAAGTTATATTATGCTATGCATGTATGTATTGTTCAATTTTTTTATCGAAATACCATTTTTCTACTCTACTTGTACGACCTCTCAAAAAAAAATTTGGTAACACTGGTCTCTCTATAAACGACGTAGACCTGTAGTTAACATCTGAGACGCTAGATGACGCCACCGTTGCTGCGGTCGTTGCGTTTCCAATCTTATCCCTAATCTCTGTACGCACCCTTATGACAGTACGTCACTGGTAGACCGGAAACACTTCTCGCCATATTCGTCTAGTTCACTGTCAAAATTAGATACCATCGCGATTCCAAGGTCGTTTAGGATTCCTCCTTCCTGACTATATATCTGTACCTCGGAGCCAGACTATGTTAAGTCCAAATTGGCCAAATTTTAGGTAAATATGTTAAGTGACTTAAAATTTTGCGGCGCATGGTTCGATATTTTCCATTTTGACGTATCTTTTAAAATAACAAAAACAGCTCATTTTTTAACTACGCTAAGCCCACACTCCACAGTCTAAAATGAATATATAAAAAATGCTCTCCTGAAAAACTAAGTTTTTGGACTTAACATACTCTGGCTCTGGGGTACAGATATATATTCAAAGAAAGGCACAAATGAAAATTGTCATTTCTTTATTCTTTCATTTTTTGTCAGATCTGATTCTCTCTGTAGATATCAAAGGTTTCTTATCGCCATTTATATGAGTACAAAACTGCGCCACTTTTGCCTAATTTAACCAATTTTCTGTCTGTTACCGTTTAAGAAACTATATGGAGATGTGATTCAAATTCCATTAAGACCGTGGTTTGCAAAAATAAAAAATTTGAATAGAAGGGATATAAGTACCGTATGCAGATTAAGAAAATAGGCGTACAAGAAAATGATATCTGTACGTGTGGAGAACGGGAGGATTTACAACATATTTTTTTTAATTGTCAAAATAATTTTTATAATATACATTTTTTTAGAGAGTTTAGATATTCCAAAAAATTTTATAATTCCTGTTACACTTTTTGATGTATTGTTTAAACTTCTGTCTTTCGGTAATGTTAAAAAAATATCAAAATTTATACAAATGTCTAAAATTAAGCTGTAAAATATTGTAATTATTTACCTGTTGTTACCAAATGGCTGTATCATCCTAGCTATGTAGGCCAATAAAAATATAAAAAAAAATATACCAATACTGTTCCTATGAAATAGTAGGGACCCCGTCCCGTGACTTATTTTTTTTTATTTCTTCAAGTTCCTTCTCGACCGCCTTCTTCATTCATTTCCCAATGTCGCTTATATTGGTATTTTCTTTGGATTCTTTGGTTTTGGTAGGGTTCATTTAGCATTTTTTCTGTGTTCATGTCTACAAGTCCATACCATATTAATCGTTTAGTGCTTAGTTCTAATGCCGTCGATTATTTTTAAAACCATGTTTTATTGAGTTTTATTGAGTCTCTACTACAAGCATTATGATAAATTCTCCTTTAAAATTAGAATGTGTTTCGATTTTAATGAAGATACTAATGGAATAGAATCAAAATATTTATATAGTAGCATATCATAAATTGGCTGGTTTCTTTATCGTTTTTTTTTTACCTTTTATCATCTCTTTATTAAATTTAGATATTTCTTAATCTTGAATACCTGTTTAAGCTTTAAATAATATTTAAGCTGTCCTGTAATGTGTGTACTCCTGTTTGGACAATAAAGGATTTTTTAAAGCTTTTAGGCTTTTCTTAAAATTATTTAAAGTGTAGGTAATATCTAATTTTTTTTGTCGGTCTATTGTATTCTTAATATTGAAAAGGTCCTTTAAATATTCCAGTGTCCTCATTAAGTACTACTACATTAGTAGGTACTTTGTGGCATAGGAAGAGGGAGTTCCTATTTACTTTTCAATTTTCGAATATTACATTAGGAATTTCAACGATCTGTCTAAGGGGTTGCGACATAGTCTCTCATCTTGGACGCTATTTTTATTCAAAATAGTAATCGCTAAGCCTGCCAATTTATGAAAAATGTATAAGCGGTTTTTTAAAAAATAATATTTGCATAAAATATTTAAATTTAATTATTCATGATTTCACGTTTTGTAGAAAGAATACATCGTATGTCGCAACTCCCACGACAGCCATTTTTTTGGAATGCTAATTGGCTGAGCTAATTGGGCATTCCAACGATCTGTCAAACTATATCTGACAGTGGGAAAGGCTCATATATTTAAGAGGGCTGCGACATAGTCTTCATCTTGGATGCTATTTTTATTCGAAATAGTAGTCGCCAAGTCTGTCAATTTATGAAAAATGTATCCGGTTTTTAAAAAATAATATTATTGTGTTAGACATAAAATATTTAAATTTAATCCATTATTCATGATATCACGTATTGTAGATAGAATAGAATATGTCGCAACCTTTTAGACATACCAAACCTTTCCACCGACAGTTAATTAGGCATTCCAAACAAATGAATTACCAGTGGGCAGGTTTGGTATATCTAAGGGTGGCGACATATGGTGTATTCTATCTACTTTACGTAAAATCATGAATAATGGATTACATTTAAATATTTTATGTCAAACACAATAAAAATAATATTTAAAAAACCCACCTATACATTTCTTCATAAATTGGCAGGCTTGGCGACTACTACTTTGAATAAAAATAGCGTCCAAGTTGCAAGACTATGTCGCTACCCCCCTTAGATTTACAAGAATTTCCCACTGGCACCTATTGTTTGACAGGTCGTTGGAATGCCTATGTAACGTTTAAAAAATGATTTTGTCAAAACTTGTCAAACCTCGGAATTATTCAAAAAATCTATTTCCAACTGTGCTCGTAAGAAATGCGACGAAATGGTATCCAGATGCAGAGTATTTCGCACAGTTTAACGGTCCAGTCATGTACCCCGTTGGGGACATAAAAAATTGGAAGATAGCGCCATGGAATGCGAAAAAAGCTCCAGAAGAAAAGAGAATACAAAATATGGTTTTAAATTTTGGACCGGCACATCCTGCTGCACACGGTTGCTTGAGGTTGATTTTACATTTGGAGGGTGAGGTAGGAAAATATTAAATTTTCGTCTAGATAATTTTAGTCATTTTTACACTTCTTTAGTGCCCAAAGCACTTTATTGTTTCTTTAAGGGTAAATTTTGAAAATAAAAAATGAACTAATACTCTTTCTAATTTAGCCTCTTACGAGTGAAATTTAACCCCAGAAGCCGACTAAGCTAGGGAAGGGTTGGCAATTATTATTATTTGCCGTGGTGCTCCGAGGTGACTTAAAGATGATTAATGGTGCAATTTGAGTTACAGGTGAGGAAAACCCGAAAAACCTCATCCACCATTATCGAAACGGTAAAGCATGGCGATTTGTAATCTGGATGCCATATCAACAGAAATTAAATTGCTGCTAATACGGCATACATTAAATCCTATAACGAACCATGCAAATTAATTAAAAAATCACATGGACTGCTGTAGGATTCGAAGTCACTTTGTCTCTCAACTACAAAATTGCCTATAAGTAAATATAAGCACATAATACAATTATGCTACCAATATTAGATATAAATTCATAAGAGTGTCCTATGGGATCTAAATTGTATGATATAGTATTTAACATTTTATTCATTGCAATCACCATTATTACCCTAGTTCATGTGGTCTACGGTAAAAACCATTAAGGTTCACTGAAATAATTTTTACGACAGAACAAGGCGTCAAGACTTCTGGCAAGGCAAGGAAATTAATGATTCTAAATTTAAAAACGTTTTGTTAATATAGTAGAACTAACGAACGTCCTATTAGTCCAATTTTAAAAATAATTATTATTATTCTTTTTCAAAGGGTGGGTTAGTTAAATGGTCATTGTCCTATACAGTAATAGTATATTACACACCGAGGTGGGAAGAGTTTCATTCCTGTCGTGAGATTAATTAGATCACCGAGACGCGAAGCGTCGAGGTTAGCTATGATGAGGTGTGTAATGTGACACTTCCCAACCTTTAATAACGTTAGTAATGACAACATTACATATATGATTGTAAATAAATATACATTTCAAACTTTGAAGTATCTGTGGATTTCGATGATTTTTGATTGTTTTAACTAATGGTATCGTTCTATCTAGACACAATGCCATCGAAATCTTCAAATTGATTTAGTTTGGATTTTTCAATTATAAAGACGATACATTTGGATGTTGTTCAAAAGTATCTTAGACATTTTTGTTCTATATAGTGTGTTACTGGATGAAGCATGCATTACATAATGGCTATTACGAATTATGACGTCTTTGAAAGAGATGTCTATTTTTCAGGATGATATAATTATTCTAACAGTTGATTTGTATACCCATCTTATTTAATCCTATGCCTACCTACCATTTGGTGCAAGGCTGAGGATACCTTCTTGTATTAATTTTTCTACTATTATTTTTCTCATAATCCGTTTCTATCTTGCTAGTTTTTTAACACCTTTCCATGCTACTGCATTTCTTTTCACTTGGTCTATCGTTTTCCCTATTTCATTTTTAATTTTTTTTGTAAACTTGCACTTTCGACCCAGACAGCACACATAGTCCAATGGATCCATTTGAGATCCATTTGAGGGGCAGAACGTCCATATCCGTGTTCGGACATCCAGTGTACGTCCGTTTGTAATCATTAATTTGACAGCTGTATTTCGATGTCGTCTGTTTTTGGACCTAACCTAATTTTAAGTTTAGTATTATTTTGACGTCCACTGGACGTCCATCTTAGGTCATTATTTATTTAGCCTACCAGAATACCCATCTATATATATTTTTATATTTTTAATAGAATTGGTCAAAATGTATAAATTAAATTTATACATTTCATTCTATCAGCGGAAGTTTGAAATCTTATTCTATTATAACTGTATCTAGTAAGAATTTTTCAAGTGGCTCCTTGGTCGAGGTCGCCTAGTGCTTGAATGCCCAGAAAGACAGTGGCCGTGTCGTGAGTTCGATACCTGCTCTGGTCAAGTGGTTAAAAAAAAAATAAATGGTGTATAGCGGGTTGCGAAAATAATAAATAAATTATTAATAATATAAAATAGTGTGTGGTGAGTTGCGGTTGCGTAAAAAAGTAATGGATGTGTGGTCTCAATGGAATATAATCCAAGAATGGACGTTTTTTGAATGTCCAGTATTGAACGTCCAAATATAATTCAGAATTGGACGTCTTATAAACGGTCAAAAGTGTGCCATTTGTATACTTCACTGGACGTCCATTGGAAGTCCAGAAAAAACTCGTCTTTGGACGTCCAAACATCCAAAATTGTATATCGAATGGACGTCCAATGGACCTATTTGTGCTGTCTGGGTAAGCTAATATAATTAAAAAATATTTTTTTTTAGATCGTTAGGCGACTGGACCCGCATATTGGGCTTCTTCATAGAGGCACCGAGAAATTGATAGAGTACAAAACTTATACCCAAGCTGTACCATATTTTGACCGTTTAGACTACCTGTCTACAATGAGTAATGAACATGCTTTTGTCTTAGCAGCAGAAAAATTATTGAATCTTGAAGTACCACGTCGAGGTAAAATAGAATGTCTGAACAACTAATGTGACGAATAAACAATAAACATATTATATATACAGGGTGAGTTGATACCTTTTTGACTGTGTATAGAAGTATTTTTTCAAATAACTTTTTTCAAAAATAAGAAACATACATGATTAAAAAATCTAAATCCGGGACTGGACTTGTACGTGAAAATGTACACTAAATAATAAGTTTGTTTATGTTTTTGTCTTTTTTTTTCTTTCTTTTGAATCACGATTGATTGTGTACCGGTTATTGTAATCCGTGACTTGTGATTTCAGAAGCGTTTTTATCTGAAGTAGTATTTTTAAATGGTTCAGTATGGTAAATTGAAGTGTGTTTAAAAGAACACATTTTAAATGTTATCCAGGAAGATCCAACAAGTTCGCGGGTGATGTCAAATCAGGTGGGAGTAGGTAAGTCAATGAAAAGTGTGAGCAACATTGCGGCAAAATCTATTGTATCCCTTTCACGTTCAACGTGTTCAAGTACTACAAACTTGAAGACCAGTTTTGTGAATTGTTCTTACAACTTACAACGGCATTAATGTGATCAACATTGTTCTACGAAAGTTCTACACTTTATTTAAACCGCATTTAATACATTTTGGAATAAATTAATGATTCTTATTTTAGAGCATTTTTCTGAAAAAAGTTTTTATTTTAATGACTTCTATACACAGTTAAAAAAGTAATAACTTGGAATTCACGCTCTATAATATACCGTATTTAAATAATAATATGAGCTACAAAGGACTATTTTTCTTATATTTCGAAATTATGAAAGTTCAAAAATTGTTTCGGCCATAAACAAATTAGGCATTCCAACGACCTGTCAAACAATATGTGCCAGTGGGAAATTCTTGTATATCTAAGGGGGTAGCGACATAGTCTTGCAACTTGGACGCTATTTTTATTCGAAGTAGTAGTCGCCAAGCCTGTCAATTTATGAAGAAATGTATAGGTAGGTTTTTAAAATATTATTTTTATTGTGTTTGACATAAAATATTTAAATGTAATCCATTATTCATGATTTTACGTAAAGTAGATAGAATACACCGTATGTCGCCACCCTTAGATATACCAAACCTTCCCACTGGCAATTCATTTGTTTGGAATGCCTAATTGATTGAACTCGTCTTTGTTTGTACTGTCCTGCGCATTGAACATGTCATTACTACTGTCAGCATTCTTCTGATAAATATAGCCCCATTAATTTAGGGGGTCCCTTGGCCAATGGATTTTAGGGACTCTGCTCTAATTGTGTTTTTTTTTGGGGCTAATGATATTTATAAGTAGATAGAACCTATTATGATTTATTATTTCTGTATCGAGGTTAGACTATAGACTAATAAAATGAATGAAAAAATTATTAAATTTTTGTAGCTAAATATATTAGAACATTGTTTAGTGAAATCATGAGGTTGTTGAATCATTTAGGAGCAACATCATTTTTGTGTCTCGATGTTGGTGCCATTACACCCCTGTTTTGGTTTTTCGAAGAAAGAGAGAAGTTGTATGAAATTTGTGAACGAGTATGTGGCTCTAGAATGCACGCTGCCTATTTCAGGATTGGTGGAGTACATCAGGTAAAATTACTTATAAGTAGAGTCTATTTAACAAAACATCGTTCAAGAATTTAGGAACAGAAAGCGAGCAGAAAGTAGAATTGAGCGATTTCATGTTTAAATCAATCACTCTGTGAATCGTTACTAGTCTGTAAAATATTAGTTAATTTAATCAAATTTCGAGATATTATCGCCCATCTCTATTACCTACAGAGTAGATATACATATGCCGTGTTTGAGAATCCACATCGGATGCATCTGAGATGTAGTAAATCTTTGATCACGTGATTCAGTATACGTAAATGTAATGGGACAGATGTGTCCGATGTGGATAAAAAAACGCTCGAGATGTAAAAAATGCATCCGATGTAGATTCTCAAACGCGGCAATTTAATGGATTATATTTGTTTCACTAGTGTCACACTTGACACTGTATTCGAACTGTCATACTTGTCAAAAGTATATGCTACCCTCCGAGCAATTACTACTAGAGGGAGCGTGAAACGAGTTTGTAGGCGATTGTTGTCTTCGCAACATCTGTAGAGGAAGTGAGAAAGCGGGCACAAGGGGTAGGTAAACATCCTTCTTGATCGGTGGCGTATCATTTCTCTGTAAGAACACACATTGTCCAAACTTTTTAATTGTAATAAAAAAACTAAAACATTTGCTAATTTTACTATTTGTAAAATGTATACCGTCTTATGTGTCTGATGCAGGAAATGAAACAAAATCACTGTAAAGGTCTAATTTTTTCAATTAAAAAATAAAACCTCAAAATCAATTTTACTATAAATAAATGCAGGAGAGACTAGTTTCGGCCTCACAGGGTCATTTTCAGGCCTGTAATACAATGATTCTTAATTATTATAACAGGTTGGTCACTTACAATTAAAATTAAATAGTATAAACCAGTAGAATTAAAGCTGTGAAAATAAAAGAGCAGTGCAAACGTAACTAAAAATGAGAAAAATGGGTACGGAATCTACAAGAGAAGAGGTGAGAATGAGCAATTACGATTGCATTTAAATTACTCGGAATAACAAATAAGGCTGATAATGTAAAGTAGTGGTATAGTCCCCGTCATATGAAAGAGGACGGCGTTTTCTCTGTAAATCTAGAGAATGTAAGGATGGAGGGAAGACGAATCTTGCTGGCTCAGGTGTAGATGGCTAGAAAAAGGAGCGTGTAGATGAAAGCTGCAGTAAATATCGTCACTTTCGTCTAATTTTTTATTCTCACCAGGGCCGACGAGAGAGGGAGCAGCCCCGGGGTCCGGGCACAAGTGGAGGCCCGGCAGCTGTAGGTGAGGACTTATTGTTTTAGAAGTGCGCCACAAAAGGTTTATGTAAAATACAAGATGGTTTTTTTTAACTTTGGAAAACCGGTGACTAAAGAAATTTTAGAAAATATTTACAAAAATGTGCCATCAGGACTTCACTTGTAACACCCTGTATCTTGGACCTATGTTTGTATGAACTTTTACTTCTATTCTAGGATGTAGACTGCGCTGTTAAAATATGACCGTCTAATTTCGGGACACCCTGTATACCTTTACAACCCTTACAACGCTATATATAATTATATTTTCCGTAAAATACAAATAAAAAATTGACATGTATCAGAAAGTGCCAAAACTGGCGCTGTCAAACTTGGTAACCCTGATTAAATAAGCTTATTACAGGAGAGTGATTTCCCCCCTCGGGGGGAGTAGCTGTTGGTAACAAAATTTAGTGGGAAGAAGGGGGGAAGACTCCCTCTAGTAGTAATTGCTTGGAGATGCTACACTCAAGTATGTGTCAAATATTTGAAGCTACACTGAACAAATCAGTGTAACTGCTTCATTTGCAAACAAACGTACACTGAATCTACACCTCTACACTGAATTTCAACGGAAGTGTAGCTCAGTGTAGCTGTCAAATGTGTAATAATTTGCAGTAATTGACATACAAAAAAATAAAAGTGGATCTGAATTAGGGTTGCCACCTGTCCTTTTTTGAAAAGAACATTCCTTTTTTGAAGAAAAATGTCCTTGTGACTTTTTGAAGCTTAAAATGTCCTTTTTTTACAGAAAATGTCTTTTTTTACATTACATATCTTTGGAAGGGTTTTTGTAGAAGCTAGGTAAAATGACGAGGAGGATTTATTCAGCGACCTTTTTTTTCAGTAGAAGGATGAGGATTTTTATACTGGATCCCCTGTCCTTTATTCACTTTTCAAAAAGGTGGCAACCCTACATCAAATTGATATTAAAATATTCTCAAGATTTTGATTCAAAGAAAATAGCTGATTATTATCAAGATCTTGGTATATTACCCACTATTTTACTAGATTATATATCAGCGATTATTTCTCTAGAAGAAATAGTCAATATTTGGTCAAGTGAAATAGTCGTCCCGAATATATTAAAATATTCTCGACATTGGGGTCTATTCTGTAACAATTCCTTTATATTTAACGGCCTTTAAAAATATTGGCGACCTTTAAAAATATGTTTGTATTCGTTAATTTACTTCTGTCCTTATTTAAACAGATTTCTTTTAGATAGTCCTCTAATGTATTTTAAAGATCCGTTTAAATAGCGACCGAATTAAAGAAGAAAATATTTTTAAAGGCCGTTAAATATAAAGGAATTTTTACAGAATAGAGCCCATTTAGACACAACAAAAATAGCTGACTACCAAGGTCTACTTATTAAACGATTTTAGTTGGCTGTCATCCCCTTTAACCTCCACCTAGAGATGATGGTGTCATTTATCGACAGCCCAAATGATGTGTTTATTGTTACCTTAGGGTAATTTTTTAAAGTTTGATAAAATTATTGACGATTAAAAATAACACGAGAAGAAAACTTACTTTATCTCCACGTTTCATTTTTCTTTCATTAAAAATTTAAATCAGGCTTTAAAGAGGTGCAGATTCTCTGCTCTGAGAACAGATTTCTGAAATTTTTTTTAGGATTTACCATTGGGGCTAATGGATGACATTTATGAAATTGTCAAGAAATTGCCCGAAAGAATTGATGAAGTGGAAGATGTCGTTACAAAAAATCGATTATTTAGAGGAAGAACGGAGGGTATTGGAGTGGTAGCAGCTCATGAAGCTTTAAATAGAGGCTTTACGTAATATTTTTTTTTTATTTTTCGTAAAAGTATAAGTAAGACTATTGTTTTAGTGGACCTATGTTAAGAGCGTCTGGAGTAAAATGGGATATCCGAAAAACTCAACCGTATGAAGTTTATGACGAGATGGAGTTCGACATACCGGTTGGTCAACATGGAGACATTTACGACAGGTAATAACTATTAGATTGAAGGTTCTAAAAGAAGTTTTACAAAATAACAACTTTCGTATTTAACGGTTTATGTCTATATTCATATGTGCATTAAGCTTCTCAATTCTGAAAGAAAATAATCTACGAGTCAAATTATCAGATAATGGTATAAACAGTGGATAATAATCTTATCTATTTTTTGTTCCCAACAAGGAACTGGAAAAGTCTTTAGAAAGAGACGAACAACTACTAGACCAATTTTGTTTTCAAAAGGCGAATTGCAAGCATTTATGTTGTTATCCGCAGAGTTGCCAAATTATGACAAGAATTATTTGTGTTTATTAGAAATTTAATTAAAATACTCTAAAACGTAAAAAGGTCCTCAAAATAAAATTAAAGAAATATATTTGCGTATTCAATGCAAGTTATTATCAGTTTAATTTTTATTTCTGGTTGCAACTACTGTAGCTAAAGGTAAGTTCAAGCAAAGTATGCCATTTATTTTGCAGTGTGGCAACAGTGTAAAGTAGGCGTAGTACTTGTACGTGATCTGGTTTAATAATACTGCTCCCCACTTAATTTAGTACGCTGTCTCAATGTTTACAAACATAAAATACGAACTGAATACTTGCAAGAAAACAAGTGTTTACTTATGAATGAAAGTATTAGTCTAGTATTTGGAGTAAAAGATTTGATTTTGGTGCGCTTTTTAGTGTTTGAATTGTTCCTAAAGGTGAGTTCGGTCTACGCACTCTTTTCACTATATTCACTCCTAAAGTACCTAAGGCGTTCGGGTACGGAAGGAGTTAAAATAAAAGTTCCTCTTTGATCGTTCGAAGATCGTGGAGTGGAGTGTGGATCGGGCATGTGCATAAGGTGATTTAAATCGATAATAAGATAATTGTGACCAATTCTTAAGTAAAAATGCTTTTTATTTGATTCCCGTGCATACCATTAATATGGAAGAAACTTGTACGGAACATTGACAACTGACATTGAACTCTGAGAGTAAAATGAGTAAAACCATATGCGCACTCCGTTTGCGCCCATTTACTCCACTCTGGAGTGCGCAGCCCGAATTCACCTTAAGTAAGATATGCTCTGATACAGCACGATTTTGTGTTTTTAAAAAGTAATTTTTGACATTATTTATAAATTTATAAACACTTCATAGGCGTATAAAACTGTAGTGATGAAACAAAAACTCAAACAGGAAAATAATACCGTTTATTACTAACGTTACATTATGCAGTTGCACTTGTATCCACGAAGGAGCTAGATTGATTAGAGCTAGTATTGAAACTATTTATATCCCTTGATACTTGCGTCTGTTCAGAGCATTTTAGAAAGGAAAACTCTTAATTTGAATCGAGTGAAAGGCGGGTTGTATACAAAGCCGCCGAGAGCCAGGCGGGGCTCCGGGACAATTTTATAAAAAAATTAAGCCCTTTCGATATCACGTTTTAAAAAAAAAGGTCCTCACTTGTATTTTTCGTAAATCAAGTCCTCTATTTTGTGGCGAATATCTAAAAAAAATAAAACGTCCTCACCTAAAGCTGCCGGGCCCCGCTTGTGCATCTGCCGGGCCCCCCTTGTGCTCGGGCCCCGAGAATTTGTCCCGCCAGCCCCCCCCCCCTCTCGTCAGCTTTGGTTGTACAAAAGATGGTTACGACTTGGTTAGTCAAATGATGTTATACAATACAAGACAAATTTTATATGCAGGGTGTTCCACATAAGTACCGACACAGAACAGGTGCATGTTGGGCCCCCCAAATTTTGTTGATTTGACGCAATTTGCCTCTATACCAAGTTGTACCAAGAATTTACGGAATAGACTTTATGGTCCCACCTTAGACAAGTGGGGCCATAAATTTAGAAAAAAATTAATCTCTGCAACCGTTAAATTTAAAAAATCTTTATTTGGTAAATTATTAAGGCGTTTCATAAGTCTTAATTTGAGGGTGAGTAAGAATTAATTGTAATATTTTAAGGGTTACTTATTCGGAACACCTTGTATAGATAACCTAGAAACGTGTTATAAAAAAATAATATTTACAGTCATTTATGTAATTTTAACATTTTTCAAAGCTAGAAAGTAAATTAGTTCCCATTTAAATTCCACCTGGGTTCTGAACTCTGAACTCCTATACTTATTTAAAACGATTCTGCTTGTAATACGCTGTTACATATACTAGAAGTGTTTTTGTTATTATAACATATTGGAAACGGTAATGTTTTTATTACCCTTCGAAGCACAAAAGTCTTATCTGACAATACGACTAATAATGGTAAATATTTTAAATACAGCAATTCTGTATAAATATACAGCCGAGTTTGTAGATGTGCCAATTAATTTTGAATGTAAAACATGTATGTTCGCTGTAGATGACTGTATGCATTAAAAATATTGTGGTCTAGAGTCGAACGTTTTCTAAAATAGTTAAAAATGCAGATGCGTCTTTTATGCATATTTTGAAGAATATATTATAATAAAAAATGTCTCTACACGAGAAAAATCTATTCGCCAGTCATTAGTTACTGAATCCACTCACTTGTACTGTTGTACTTTCGTGAATAAGGCATTAGAAAGTACTATGTATATTAGCCTCTTAGCCATGGTGAGTACTGAGTATCATTTTTGTATGTTCTAGGTATTTAATTCGAATGGAAGAAATGCGACAGTCTTGTAGAATAGTTCTTCAATGTTTAAATAAAATGCCAAGAGGTGAAATATTAACCGATGATCACAAGATTTGTCCTCCGACTAGGGCTGAAATGAAAGTAATAACAGTAATAATAAACAATTACACAAGACAGTTTCATTATAATTTATTTGTTTAAGACCTCCATGGAAAGCCTTATTCACCATTTCAAATTGTTTTCGCAAGGATTTCAAGTCCCTCCAGGTACCACGTATACTGCTGTAGAACATCCAAAAGGTTTGTTTTCAGATTTCAGTGAATTATTCTTTTTACGGAGTAATAAAAAAGAAATGTGTACAAAGCTTACAATTATTTTCTTTTTAAAAGATAAAGGTAAGTGATGGTCGGCACTTTGAAGTCGAAGGAATAAAAATCTCTGACCTTCAGTTCCACCATAGAGATACTCTAAGAAAAGATATGCAGACGAACATAAACTAATCATTGAAACTATTCTGCGAAAACTACATTTATTTATATTGTACTGTTTTAGCTATGCCCCTATGTTTCTTTTCTGTATTGTTCATCTATTCTGTGGATTCTGTGTCATAACTACGGCTCGTATCTCGGCATTTTTGTCGGACATGACCTATTTTGGAATCATTATTTTAGAAAACAATATAACAAATAACACATTAGAATAGGTTATGGGATGAATAAAAATTAATTGATTAGAAAAGTTGGGCCAGCTGTAACAGACTAGGGGGTCTATTCTGTAAAAATTCCTTTATATTTAACGGCCTTTAAAAATATTTTCTTCTTTAATTCGGTCACTATTTAAACGGATCTTTAATATACATTAGAGGACTATCTTAAAGAAATTTGTTTAAATAATGACAAGTAAATTAACGAATACGAAAATGTTTTTAAAGGCCGCCAATATTTTTAAAGGCCGTTAAATATAAAGGAATTTTTACAGAATAGACCCCTAGGTATAATATAACCCGATTAGGTCCCGTATTACTCCACAGGTTGCTTAGAATTTAAGACTAGGTATTAAAATAATTTTTCCTTCCGGTATAATAAGCTGCCATAAGGCATAATAACTACAGTCAGGTGTGTGAAAATTTCAAATAATTTATTTAGAATGTGCAAAAAAATGGTGAAAAAGTACAAACATTACTGAAGAACAAACGTTGGCAAAACTTATGGCGACATTAATAAAAGTGATCTGTTTTTAGGTGAATTTGGCGTTTATTTAGTATCAGATGGAAGTTCCTTGCCGTATAGATGCAAAATCAGAGCTTCCAGTTTTATACACTTATCGGGAATTGATTATATAGGAAGGAATTTGTTCTTAGCGGATATTGTAGCTATTTTAGGTAAAAATTTATCCAAAAATTCAACCAAGTCTTTAGGTTCTGACGCTTTTTATTAACTATCTGTAAAAGTATTTGACAGCACAGTTTCACCGGAGATTTACTTTACACAAATCAAATAAAACATTGTGCAGGTATACCTGTGCAAATACAAGCAGGGTCGCCGAGAGCCACGTCGGGCCCCGGGACAATTTTCCAGGTCGGGACCCGCGACATGACAATTTTATAAAAAAGTAAGCCATTTCAATATCACATTTCTAAAAAAAAGTCCTCGCTCTTGTGGAGAACTATTAAAAAAAAAACGTCCTCACCTAAAGCTACCGGCCCCCCATTTGAGCCCGGGCCACGGGAATTAGTCCCGACTACCCCCCTCCCACCCCTCTCGTCGGCCCTGAATACAAGGCTGTTCTAAATTTTGTGTGGAATTTCCGTATACTCCATTAAAATAAATTTATTAAATCGTGAATATAATTTAGAGTTAGAAATTAATCTTTTACCAATTAAGGATTATAGCATCGTGTAGGAATGAACACATGAACAGCTTAAAATTATTGATTTATTCGTGACTCTTATTTATAATTTTCAGCTACCCTAGATATCGTTTTTGGTGATGTGGATAGATGATCAAGTTACTTTAATTAGAATTATATTGTTACAATAATTTTGATATTATATATCTTGATATTTAATATTGTTTTATTGTCTTTTGTTAGTTATTTGTTTTCGTCTTAACAAGATAGAGAGAAACAAAGTAAGGTATCTATGAAATAGAATATCTACCCTACTTGTTTATTACTAGCAAAGTTAGGTTGGTCAAAAGCATTGAGTTTTACAATGAAACTAATCCACACAAAATTTCGATTATAATCCGTAATCCCTTTTCTCAGAGGAAATATTAAAAATTGAAAAATTGAAGGGTTGGTATATCTAAGGGGTTGCAACATACACTATTTTCTATTATTTATAACACGTGAAAAACCACCTATTTTATGTTTAATACCATGAAAATGGCGAGAAATATCATATAAGTTACAAGAATCTGTAAGATATAATAATGTAATTTTTTGCAAATTTTGGCCTACAGATCTTTTATAGATTGTCTCAGAATCGACCTATTATTTTGAAAATTTTTCTGAGGAATTTCAAATAAAATATTTACCCGCCATTCTGTATTAAATCTATAATAGTTGCTGCTTCTTGTTTTAATAAATATCTAGTTGTTTTTAAATGGGATTATTTTCCACCTTTTTTTTAAACGTCTCTGTAGAGTCTCTGTCTCTCCATATTGTCAAGACACATAATATCACCACACAGTTCGCTCACTCTGCGTCGGCACTTTTGATCTCAATGTTCCAGTTTATACACTGCGCAACTCGGATTTGTATCCCTGGCGCATATAGAATCAAATCAAAATCAATACAATATATGACAACCTCATACTGTATTCAAACAGCAGTCTTCTGCGCATCCTGAATTTGTATCCCTGGAGTGGATGTTATTTTGGAACATTCAACTGGTCCAAGTGAGCTAACTGATTCTTTAGCCATAAATTGTGATATCACGAAGTATTCCCAGTGGCATACAAATATAATTTTATATTAGAAAATCCTTAACATTTTTGCTCCAGTTTGTTCTTAATGTTTAACAACTATGGTTTTTACAATGTTTACCGAATTATATGCAGTTATTCGGAAAGGCTGGTTGCGTCGCTCGAAAAACTGGAAGTGGGCAGCCGTCTAAAAGTACAGCTGAAAATATTCGACGTGTTATTGATGAAAATCCACTTTTCAAAGGCAATTAAGACACAAAATTTATTAAAATTTACCAAAAGACTTCCGGTGATTCGATAAATCCTTATTGTGTGTCGTTTAGTTGTTGTCAGTTGTTAGCACTGATCTGTATTATTTTACTGGATAGGATGTAGCCCCCTAAAAAACGTTCCGAAAAATTGGCCGATTTGGGCAAATAATATGTTGTGCCAACAAGTTACGATGAGATGTTTTTATTGTGGAAAACAAAGTGAAAAGAGTATCCGTACTCTTCATAGATATATAAAACTATTATGTTTATAATAATAAACAAACTGAAACAATTAATAATTTACACAAGCATACAAGAATACAAATAACATTTTTCAATTAAATGATAAAAACTGAAGTGAATTAAAACGATTATTACTAAATTAAATGTTATTTAAGGTTTCTACAGAATTGGAGCTTTTCGGGAAATGGACGAAGAGAGTATGGATACAACCAATTTAAATATTGTAAGTGCAGTAATGCGATTATGTTCAGACCATTTTGAGCTATCCTGCATTGATAAAAACACAAACGAAGACTGTTGGTAATGCATTTAAAAATATTAGCGGTACTTTATATCTTTTTTTACATTAATAAAAATGTTACAAGAAATATAAATTGTTTATTTTTTCACCTGCTTTTCCCATGATTTCCTCTATTTCATTTAAAACATATATAAATCAATATTTGCATAATTGTAAAAATTATGTAAAGCCTTTAAATTTGTTCTTTATTTAATTGTAAATTACATTCGAATAGTCTACACAAAATTACCTACATAATTCTTCAAAATTCTTAATATAAATCATGTTCCTGAAAACACCACTAGATCAGTTCCAATTCTAATCGGTTTAGTTGCATGAATCCATATTGTTCTCTCTGTTAAACATTTTCACAGGTATTGTTTAGATCTTCTACATCTTTTAACCATATTAATATCCCTGTTCTATTGTAACAATGGCAAACTCACCGATTCTCGTTTCATACTTGTTCCCTAAAGTGATTCGATCATCTATGTAGTTCTAGCTCGAGGCTGTTATTTCTATTACCAATATCTCCTTTTAGTTGTAGTCCTTAAAAAATCCCTAGTGCAGTTTTAAGAATTTTTCTTTCCACTATAGGTACTTTAGAACTGATCCTTTATCTGCTATTTATGTAGGTAGTATCAAATAACATTACTATGATATAAACAATAAACATTTATTCCTGAAGGTACAATATGCTTTACGTTTCCATTTTTATATTTTCTTTCATAAAAAATCAAATTATGGGTGAATTTTCCCGAAGAACATCGCCCGCAAAAGGAATAGAAGAAGAATAAGAAGAAAAACTAATCAAATTATAGGTTAGGTATGTCAAATTATCCCAAATTTCAGTTCGGTGATCCCACCATAATTTGCCCAAATCGGCCAGCAGTGTTGCACTTCCGCTCTCCTTGGTGGAACGGTTATTTAGTATGTTAAATATAGCCTATATCTTATCCAGTAAAATAATACAGGTCAGTGAGTGTGTTACTGTGGCGTTAAGCTATCCTAACAACACAACAGCAAACAAATTCTTTACTATGACTAGATAAAATCTGCGCCTGATCACAGGCACTCTGACTGGCCATTGTCAAGTACAGAAACATCTGAGGAAAGCACTTCTTGGGGACGTTGTCAACTGCATTAAATATGCAGGCTGGCTCAGAAGCTAGGAGGAACCCATTTACTTAGGAGGATGCACAATGGGCCTAATGAGGCATAAATGCCTTGGGTTCACGCACGCTCCACACGTTACAAAAACATTGACACACAGAAAAAATTAAGGTCAGTTACGAACGACCTGCCACCTACAGTCAATTTGATGATTTTCACAAAAATGAGGATGAAAATTTTAAATCTGGTCAGTGCCGATTTAAACTCCTTCTCACTTGTCTTTAGCCATAAAACGCAGTACGATACAATCCCGTTCCTTGATCTCTACGTGCTCACATGTAAAGATCTAGTAAAAGGCTTGTATCGTAAACTTTTGTTATAAAAATACTAGAATAGTAGCTTTTATAAAAGTTGTTATACAATTGCCATGAAAATGGTTAGATAAAAAGTTGTCATATAACAACTGTAGTAACAGAATAAACCCATATATCTCCGCATTTGTTCTTCTATACTCATCCTGCTCTATTCATACTCTTCCAAAATGGTTCCTCGACACTTTAATAATAATAACAATAACTTTATTGTCCATAAAATCCAAATACATATGGTGGGACGAGCCAAAAGAAAAATATGACACAAATATCAAAAATACAATTGCATGGAAAATATAATTAAAATATTAAATAATCAAAACGTAAAATCCAAATATTCTTCGACAGAATAAAAACAGTTATCAATCAATAGCTTCTATACTTTTAAATATATTTAAATTTTCTAATGATTTTACATTATTGACAAGTTTATTATATACTAGGATACCCATGTATTGAAGACATTTAGTTGCTCTTCCTCTTTATTCATTATCCATTCGTTCGATTCACTATCAATTTTACTATTTCAATATTTTATGTAGTACATTTAGCAACTCGGCATGAATCGTCTTTTCTCAAATTGATCGGTATGTTAATTCCAGTGAAATTTTGGTACATAGGTAAATTTATTGAGATCCACTTATTGGGTAGTCAATTTTTGACGTTTACGAGGAAATTAGGAGGTAAAAATAAAATTCATATAATTGTTTCATAATAGATAACACTTTATTTGCGACTATAATTGAACTAAGTTGTTGAACTAAATCAGTACATATTCTTAAATGACTAGAATTTGAATATACAATAGTTTCAACCCCAAAAAGTTAATTCACAAAACGGGTTCCTATTTATTCAACAACTGGCCAGTAACGTTAAGGAATGTAATCAAAACTTTATTTTTTTTTTACATAAAAACAATAGGATATAGTTGAACAGTAACAATTTTTTAATCAATATATTAATATCCTTCGTTTCTTATAGCAGTTTTAAATATAGTATTTTTTTTAATTTAAATTTATAAACCTAGAAAAAACGAAGGAGAGTTATAAATATACTATTTTTTTGACTTAAAACATAATAAATAAATAAGTTTAAACTGTGCGGGTCACAGGTTGACTATCCACTGATTTTTGTGGAGAAACGATAGAATGACTAATTTTTCCACCGTAAATCGAAGTGAACTTGAAAAAATTTCAAGACCACCGCTCTTTGGTTATATTCGTTTGAAAATAAAGTAGCTATCCAGAAGAAAACTCGACAACACTGCTTGAAAAGAAAAGGTATTATAAAAATGGTAGGTACACAAATTCGAGAAATTATTTGAGAAAACATAGGATTGATTTTCATCAAAATTGGCATAAATTCTAGTAATAAAATACACGTCGCATTCTTCTGTCATTCTAGAAACCACTTTTTAAGTGCAATGTTGAATATCAAGCAGTTGGAAATACACATACCTGTTCTACCTATACTGCACTTAAGGTGGTTCTCTTGGTAACACCTGACATTAAGAACTCTTTCAACATTCAACAGCGTCCCATAATATAGGGATTCTGAAAACTAGGAAAATCAGCTAAGAAACACAATAGATGAGATGAAAACATTGGTTATATGCAGAAAGGTCTGGGAAAAGTGGATACAAGAGGACAAAAAGGCACAAGGAACTCGAGAAGAAGATAACTGAGATAACATACAGCTTATTAAGAATTTTTTTGCAAATTTTTGTAAATATGGCAAAAAAATACATTCCGTTTAAAGCCCTAAAGTTTCCAAGCAGTGAAGTAAGTTTTACATGTTTAAGAAAATAGAATTGGACACAAAAATATTCTCACAGTTAACAAATATTCAGTCTTTATAAAAAAGCGAGCATTAGGCAGTAATTGTTTATACATAATTTCCCTTTTAAAGTTTTTTTTTGTTTGGAAGCACTAGTCACTTCAACAGTTCAATAAAAAATAAAACTTAACGTCCGAATTCAACAGGTAGGTAACAAATATCTTCTACGACTTGTATGTGCGGATGACGTCCCGGATGACGGCTCGACAAAGAGGACAATGTCCGCCTCCTTTGCCGCGCCATTGCTGTAGAGCGCACTCGTAGCACATGCACATATGTCCGCACATGTAGAGCACCGCATCTATGGGGTGTTCGTAGCAGATCGTGCATTCGGCGCCTATTTGCGCGCCGTTTTGTTCTACCCAAGACAGCGGGGTCGAATAGGTACTCGAATCCGAGATGGGCTGAAAAAAGAAAACACAAATTAGCTTTATTAAGGAATAGAGAAACATGGCCGGGTCTGAACTACACAAATTTTCACACTTAAAAACAATAAATGGGGTAACCATAAAGTTGAGGGCGAGGGGCAAATCACTCCCGCAATACGTGTACAAAATGTCCGCAATCCCATTGAAAATCGTCGCAGTCTCATCAAAATCAGTGACAATCGCTAAGAAATCGCCGCAGTCGTTCCGAATTCGCTCGCAGTCGTCCCGAATTCCCTTGCAGTCCCCCGAATTCTCTAGCAGTCACTGAGCAATCACTAGCAATCGTTAAAAATCGTGCGCAGTAAGGTGACATTAACCAATTAGCCATTGTTGATGTAGGGTGCTTTGATTAAGCCATCTAAACCATTTTGTGTAAAGAAATTGCAGTTTACATTTATCGAAAGGGTCCTTCCGTGCATTTTGAGGCAAGAACTATTAAGTTAAATTTACATTTTGGAATTTGAAGGTTTTTTTTAGGATAAATTTAGACACTAAATCTACTTGTATACAAGATTTTACAAGGTGGTCGAAAATTGTCCCTTTTCATCTAGTTTTTTTTTTTTAATGTATAACAAAATTGTTGGTATTTTATGGGGGTTGTGGTGATACACGTTTTAATTAGGGTTTTAAATGTATTTTTACTTTCCTATCTGTTTACAGATAAGGAAAGTATAGGAATCATGATTTTTTTCGACCTCGAATTTTGGGGTATCCTGAATCTGTTTCGACTATTTTCGCGATGATGTCTGTGTGTGTGTATCCTCGATAACTCATGAACGGATACAAATAGAAACACCAAATTTTAAACTTAAGCTTTATTCCGGCGTCCAATTAGCTGATTAGATTTTGGGCAGAGTCGGAACATTTGGAGGGTACTTTATAGTCATCATTTTTATATTTTATGGAATATATCTGTTATTTACGTTTGGACAAGAAATGTTTTCAAATAAAAGTTACTTACAATATTATTATCTATAATTTGTTCTATACAAAATTTGGTCCGTATTCGAGAAATTTGACAAAATGTAAAAAAAAAATATTTTTTTATAAAAATTGTTCAAATAAAAGTTGTTTGTAATATAATTCTCTATAATTTTTGCCCTATACATAATTTCTCTAAAATGGACCGTATTCGAGATATTTAAGAAAATGTGTAAATTTCGAATTTTAAAGAAAAATCAAAAACGGATAAAGTAAAAAACATTAAATTTTAAACTTAAGTTTCCATATATGATGTAGATAATGAAAAGAGCATTTTTTATGGATTGGAAGATCTTAATATAAAGGATTTTCGAAATTACTAGACAAAAAGTGATTCTGATACCTCATTTTTAAACATAATTGTGAACAACAAAAAAATCAAGGTAAAAAAATCAGCTCTTTGTTGGTTATTTTCCACTGAAGACGGGCGCTTCTCAACTGACAGATTATCTCGTGTAAAAGGAACATCCTCAGCAGTACTAAATAACAAAAAAAAAAACAAGTCCAGAAAAAACACAGCTAAAATACCAAATAACTACAATGACAAAGATGTAACAGAAAGTGAAAAAACTACCGGTGAAAACACTTTGCTCCAGAAAAATATCAATGGCATTTTAATTAGGAACGAACAATATTACGCAATTCTTTACGAGTCGTGGTACATAGGTCGAATTGTTCAAATAATTGATGAAACCACTAGTAAAATAAAATTTTTTAAATCTGAACTTGAAGAATATTTATGGCCAAAAAAAGACGACATTCAAATTGTTAAAAATAAATTAATATTTTACGGACCCATCAATTCAATTGGATCTGGTCCATTTAAACTAGAAACAAACATCAATAAAATTTGTAAACGTCTAAAAAAACACTTTTATGAAATTTTTAAATAAAAAACCTCCAATTACTTAACTTGTTTTATTTACCTGTACCTATTTGTTCATTTAGGCATATCAAAGATATCTAATAATGGAGGCATGTAAGTACCTACATAGAAGTTTATATTTCGGGTATCACATCAATTAAAACTGATCTTTTAAATGAATAAAAAACGTACAAAAAGTTGATTTATTGATAAATTTGTCGTACACACTTAGTTTTAAATCAATGCATTGTATTTAGCACCTATACATGCGCTATACAAAATTTAGTTTTTCTGATGAAACACCTAGCTAATGCTTTTTTTACTGGAAACCAACTGGTAAGCCATACAATATCGTAGAAATCCTTCGGAATGCGTGCAATTTTGCAATAATACTGACAATCCATACGTACGAGTAAATCGCCGCAATCAATAGGGAAATTGCCGCAATCAATAGAGAAATCGTTGCAGTCAATACATAAATCACCGCAGTCACGGGAAATCTGTCAGAAGTCATGTGGAAATCACCGCAGTCATCCAGAAATCGCCGCAGTCATCTAGAAATCGCCGCAGTCATCCAGAAATCATATGAATTCGGCAATACATGTACATTTTTACAAAGAGTGATTTGCCCCTCGGTTGAGGGCATACTTAAATCCACAAAAAATGTTTCTAAAGCCGGCCATGACTGACAAAGACATATAAATGATATGTCCGTGATAACTACGCCCGGCTCCAAACTAAATCCAAACAGACTCTTAAAAAGGAGAATTGTACGTTCAACATACATGCATTTTTCCAAGGCCTACTTTATAAACATTTTTTTATAATTTCAAGAAATTAAGCTAGTAACAAAAAGTAAATGAAATCTAGATCTTTTAATAATTGGATTTTATTTTATACATGGAAAACAAAAAATTGTCGTGTTAACTGATGATAGAAGTGTCAAATATAATCATCGCGGTTTAGAGAATTGTTCTCAAAATAAAACTCCCACAAATATGTATATTGAAACGATTTAAACTTTAATAACATGGACCTACAAACAAGAATTGGTATTTAGATAGCCTAGTACCAAGTAGAACAACCTTACGGATGTTTCATTGGAGGTAATTCTGTCGCGACATCTGTTAGAACAAGTACAAAACTTAGCCCGTGCGCTAGCGCCCCCTTGATTATTGAATATATAATTCTAAATACTTAGTTTTCTTTATTATTAAATTCATTTGGGTAGATTGTCAAATTTAAATTAATTAAATTATATTTATTCTCTATAATGATGATAAATCGTAAATAAATTTAAATCAACAATAATAAAATCCGTACCTCATTCTTAAACCAAATATTCTGTTCATACCTGATCGACCATCGGTCCATCTATTGGTAAATGGTATTGAGGAGATGCTAGGGCGATGCTAAAGTGTCCGCACCTTTGCATTACATTTTTATGTCATATGCCAAACTCGAGATAGTGAAGCCAGTCAGTTTTGGTGAAAATAAATGCAATTTTTGTTAAATAGCTTCATTTAAATGATAACGCTCGATACACGAAAGCTATGAACTTTTTATACAGCTGTCCCTATGGACCACCTTGCCATTTAACGTGTTAATAAAATTTTACCTATTTTATATCGCGTGTTAATAATAGACCTTAAGCAATTTTTAAAAATAATATGTATAGTTCATAGATTCAAGAGATGTTTGAGAAAACCAGGAAAAATGTTTTATTCATGTCTCGCCCTGTATTTAAAAAGTCCGTCGGTTAAATTTTGGATTTTTTACATCTACTTAATTTTGAGTAAAGAGTATTCTATGGTTTCTTTATACGCCAGACATCAAAAAAATAGTATCCATCTATAATACTTTAAATTATACAGCATGATGCAAAGTATGGAATAAATTATTTTGCAAAATTCTGAAACACGTCGATTTTTATTCCCATTATTTGACGTCCTTTTTGTTTCTTGTGACGTCTTCCTTATGTTTTTCTTTGTTTTTGGAAAAAAATATGCTTTTTTTTATTTTACATAAAAACAAAGAAAAATAAATATAATGAACGACGAAATAAATACATAATTATGTGCACAACGTACGGCATGGATAACTAACACCTTCATTTTGCGCCAAAAGGGTTTGTACAATTTTACACAAAATCCTAAATATGTATCGCTATAAAGTGAAACTGCTGTTTGAATTAAATGATGTAGATTTTCCTACTAGGAATGATTTTTCTTTATGAATATTGACTCAAACGGAAATTGAACCCGAATGGTCATCCCGTATTTTATGGACATATGAGGCACATTTCTCTATAAATACTCAATGCTCAAAACTGTAGAATATGGTCGACAAATAATTCTCATGAAATCGTTTAGGAATATCTTCATGACAAAAAAGTCACCGTTTGTTACGGTTTCACAACTAATTTTATCGTTTTACCATACATATTTGAAGAGATACAACCATCTGTAACTGTTACTGGTAACCCATACCTGCAACTGTTACGAGATTATGCCATCCCACGGATACAAAACGAGCACGAAGGAATTGAAAACATGATTTTGTAAATTCATGGCATCCAAGACTGCCTGATATTAACCCAGCAGATTACTGGCTGTGGGGTTATTTAAAAATTTTATGTTTAAAACACGAGTAATAACGCTGAAAGAATTAAAAGACTACATTAGGGCGCAAACTATTCCAATTCAACCAGAAATGCAGAATAATGCTGTGTTTAATTTGGAGGAATGTTTAGTGATTGTACAGCAGTAAAATGAAGGACATAACTTGTATTAACCACTGTCGAACACAAAAATCCTATTATTTAAGCAATCGAATTTCTTTCACATCCTGCTGCTAACTTAATTTATTATATATACATAATGAGCTTAAATAATAACCTTATATATTTATTATGATTTATACTTACTTCTATATAGTTACTGCTACACGTCGACAGCATGGTTCCCGTAGGTAAATTAGACGAAGTGGGAACAGGAGCCATGACACTATTACCAACAGGCGACATCGGTGGTTGGTGAGTCGAATGTCCTGGATAAGAATTTTGTTGACTAGGATGATTATTGCTAACTGAATTCTGGGTGGTGTGGATGTGGTGAGTCACGGGAACAGGTGCTGCCGTACTGATGATATTCGCGTGACCGGGAGGTAAAATAACTGACAGGACGGCTCCTCCGTTGGCGGCTGGTTGGACTTGGATATCCGCCGGAGCTACGCAGCACACTCTAGAATTGGACTGTTGTTGCATTGCTGTGTTCCGACGTATTTCCGATTGACTATTAATACTGTTCATCGATTCACTAGAAGGGGTTATTATCCTCCTTTCTGGATTCCTAGTAGGCGATATTGGAGTGGAACTGCTTAGCAGCCGAATACGTTGAGTAGAACCATAGATATCAAAAAATGCCCATAACCGTAGAGTCTGGTCCACATGGATGACTACTAAAGGTGCACCACCGTTCCTTGATATTTGTACTTCACCGTTCTGCGATATACAGAAAGCTATTTCGTCACCTTTGTTTAAATTTCTAGCAAAATCTCTGCTTAATACCCAGTATTCGGGTCTGTCTAATAGAAAATTAGAATCGTCAGGTAAATCAGGTTGCGAGAGCAAAGCGGGATCACAGGAAGTCAGCCCTAAACCTAAGCTTCCTTGAAACATGGGTTCTGTACCCAAAATTTGAACTACTATCCTTTCGCCTATTTGTAGAGGTCGGTAAGTAAATACGTAACCTTGGCAGAATTCTGAATCCGTTCTATAAGCGACACTTCGGTTATTAGTCATGAATTTAACGTTTCTACCTCTAGTTCTGTGTAGAGGCATTGCTTGGAAATTTAGTTGGGTGGGCTGGTAACGTAATAAAGGTAAAGTCATTTCTTCGTTAGTTTGAATGGTCATCTGTTGCATTGGGTACGTTATTCTTTCTACGGGATCACCTCGGTTTTCGCAATTCGCCGCATTATGCCTCGATGAGTTATTCAACTGATGCCTAATATCTACGAATTCAATAGCTGTGGAATTTCCATATATATCTATTAAACACCACAAAGGCCCTCTGGTCTCTACGCTGCTAAAAAATATTCCCTTTTCTTCGCCGTTGATTCCAAAATGGACGTCACCCGTCGATGTTACGTAATAGAAAAGGATCGTTCCTTGGCTGCAAAACCGTTCTGGTAACGCTTTCGCCCAATAGCCCGGTTTGTTGGTAAGGTCGGGACAGGCGTACTTTGGTAGACCATATCGCAGACTAGTTGGATCGTTGTACGTGAAACCGAACCTTATTACGCCGGACCAGTTGTTCGAAATTTCCAAGAATTTGATGCAAACCTGAAACAAAAAGTGTATGTTGAAATACAATATGGATTTGATACTCTGGGAAGGAAGCTATTGCCGCCGAAGCTGCAATACTATGGTTTTGCTGTTCATACTCTTGGTATGATCAATTTATATCTTTATAATCGATGTCAATATGTCTGATAAAATGCCAATCACAAATAGAGTACTACAGGATTCAATTCTGGGAGAATTACTGTTTATAATGTATACAATGGATATGGCTTAACAAATAAATAATAATTGTGAAATACATCGATTTGCTGATGACACATATAATAAAACCTTTAAAAAACATGAAGTCCACCAAGCTAGATTAAATATAAATACAACCTTAGCAAATGTATATGGCTTTTCATGTAAGTATGGATTAAAAATTAACCCTACTAAAACACAAGCAATCGCCTCTAGGAATAATAAACTCCTGGACAAAATTAACGCACCACTTATATTTTGCTCGATAATCTATTGATAACTTATTGTACGACAAGTAGGCCATGGATCTTGTTTGACAGTGGCAGTTGTTTTTTAAGCTAGCTAGTGTCACGTAATACCTTGTTTTGACAGTAATTCGTATTAAACCTCGTTTTAGGCTAAAACTGTGTTAACATTTTCTTAAAAAGTGCTGATTAAAGCAAAGTTTCTGTTAGAAGCAAGCTGTTGATTATAATGATGGTGGGTGAGGTTTTCCTCATCTGTAAGTCAAATGGCACCATCAATCATCTTTAAGTCGCCCCGGAGCGCCACGGCAAATAATAATAATAGCCGTCCCTTTCCTCGCACAAGCTCAGCTTTTGGGGTTAAAATTCACTCGTAAGGGGGTGAATTAGGGAGAGTATTATTATTATTATTATTATTATTATAATTGTTTTTATTACATGCATGTTTGGAAGTTCATTTGGGAGAATATCAAGTAAAAAAATGAACCGTCATAGAAATCTGTCACTGGAGGAGGCAGTGCGAGCATCGACTCTTCTGAATGAAGGATATTCAATGCGATATGTTGCTGGTTTGTTAGGAAGACATCATTCCAGCATCAGTCACATAGTGAAGCGACATAATGAAACGGGTTCGTACCATCGAAGACCAGGACAAGGGCGAAAACATTGCACTAATCAAATTGATGATCGTTTTTTGAGACAACGTGCTCTTAGAGACAGGAGAGTAACCAGCAGTCTGCTGAAAAATGAATTAGCAGATGTACGAAATATCGCTATATCGTCTCGAACGGTTAGAAGACGTTTACATGAAACAGGATTAAGCAACAGAAAACCATCCAAAAAACCCTTGTTTACCAGAGAACACAAAGTTCAGAGATTAAATTTTGCAAGACTACATCAGAATTAGACCATCAATGATTGGAAACGGGTTCTGTTCTTCGATGAAACTAGAGTTAGCCTTAAAGCTCCAGATGGACGTGAGCGTGTCTGGCGAAGACAAGGAGAAATGTTTGCCAGATGTAATATCTCTCCTTTTGGTGGTGGCTCTAAAATGTTTTGGGGAGGAATTTGCCTCGATGCTCGTACGGAGTTGGTCCCTATACGAACGAGGTCTATGAATCCCCAATATTACTTAGACAACATTATTGTCGAACATGTAATGCCTTTTGCTCCGTTTTTTGGGCCCATTTTTTTATTCATGCAGGACAACGTCCCCACGTGGCTAGACAGGTTATTGGTTACTTACATGATGTTAATATTCCTTTATTAGAGTGGCCACCTAACAGTCCGGATATGAATCCTATAGAACATCTATGGGACTATCTCAAAAAGAGGATTCGAAGTCATAGACCCCCTGTTTCTAATCACAACCAACTCATAGAGGTAGCTATTGAAGAATGGGAGAATATACCACAAGCTTTTGTTAAACATATGATATCAAGCATGCCGCGACGCATGAATGCAGTGATAAGAAGTAGAGGAGGGCCTACGCGGTATTAGGGTTGACCCAGATGCATTTATTCTCTTTTACTGATTTGTTTCTTTTTTCAATTTGGAGTTATGCTAGCTTATTTATGCATTTCCAGCAAAAACAAATTTTTATGGAAAAAATAAGGCAAATTAAGGTCCTGTTAAGGTCATATTCGACTAATTTTTAGGTGTTCATCATTATTTCAATGTAACTTAGTTTTATGTTGTGTTTATATTGTAAATATTTAGATTAATTAAAGTGGTGCATTAATTTTGTCCAGGAGTTTAGAACTGAACCTTGTGATAATGTCAAAAACTAGGAAGGTGATTGATAATAAAGTTAGGTTAGGTTTAAACTACAGATTAAAGCTGTATTGCAAAAATATTACATGTCTCTCAAAAACCTCTACTACAGCAAATCCTTTTTGAATTTTTATCTACGATAACAACTGTGTGAATCTTAAGTTATTTGAATTGTGATGATTTAAAAATAAAGACCTTCTATTATTATTAATATTAATCATATATGTAAAAGACGAGTGCTTAGAAAATAATAATTATTACCTTTTCATTGACTTTAACAGGTCTTGAACTAAAAGCGATGCCCTTGCAGAAACTTTCAACACGTTTAGCTACAGTACCATCTCTGGATATCCTGATGTTTTCACCATGGACATTGTGAAAAAGCAGCGGAGGAAGATTATTGGTACCACCGTTAGAAGATGAACGGGATGCTGTAAAATAAAAAACAAAATCAATAAAGTTAAAAATTGATATTTCTATTACCTATTACTATTTATTTTTACATCACTTATTTAAAGTGAGAATAACATCACTTATTTAAAGTGAAAATAATAAAACTCTTAGCAGTCTTTTTATAGATATTAGTGACCTTTCCAAAACGCACATAATGTAGATTTTATCAAACGCAGAAATACAGATGTCCATGCGAAATTTTAAAATTACTGAAATACATGGTATGCATATGCTGTATCGCCATGTGCGTGTCTTTTTGTGCAAGAGGGACGAAGCGGTAAAGGGGGAGACGATCTTCCCTTACGGTGAGAACCAGGTGGTGTTTCTATCTGCAATATGCCGTTTGTGAGACCTATTAAGGGCAGATGTACACAGGGGGAAGTTCAGGTACAAAATCCGGTGTGGAAGAACTGAATATAATAGAATAGAAAGTTTTATTCGGATGGACCAGTTTGCACAATTTTAATTTTGGCTGAAATGCAACAAGTTTGTATCGTGAAATATCTATTTTAAGCTAAGGGTTTCCAACCTTTATATTTTAAAATACCACACTTAATAATTTATCAGATAAAATTATTTGATTCTGGTTTAGGCATCTTCGTTATTTAATTTTATTAACTACCAAACCTAAACCGATCATTACATAAATATGTAGGTAAACGATCTGAAGACATAGTTTACAGGTTAAACTCGAAACGTGTAATTTAAGTTGTTTTTTTAAGATCATAATTTTTATCAAGAATTGTTAGTTGCTTTTCAAAAAGACGTTCGTACTCATTTGAAAATGATTGATGAATCCATTTTGAAGAATAATGAGAAAAAACTGAACCGTTCGTCTTTTTAAAATCTATAAGTCTCGGGGTCGGAAAATTACGCAACTAACTCTAATATTAAAACAGTAATCTAATTAATTGCTATTTATGTAACCAGTTACGAAATGCCTTATTTTATGTAACGAGTGAATATTTTCGGGACGAGCAGGGTGAGGTCCCGCAACATAAAACGGCATTTCGTAACGTGTTACATGCAATATTTCTTCTAATTTTGACTGGATTATTTATAAAACTGTTTTGGTAAAACATTACTGACATTCAGCCTACCAAAAATACTGCTTTCTTGTATTTAGTTGCATATATACATCATTTTATTGACAGATAGAACATAATATTAATTATTTATTCTGAACGACTTGTAGTGTGTTTATACGGCTTATTATCATTATTATTTAGTTTTCAAAAAAGTGGGTTATTTTGTAGTGTCTTGTATGTATTTTAATTATTTTGTGCTATTTTAGAATGGAAAATAAGGACCAAAACAACATTATTACTAGGTTGTTAATTCAACCTGCCCTTCTTTGATATACATTTTTAATAATAAAGTATATTATTGATTTTAAAACTTAAAAAAAGGTTTATTTTAATTTGTTTTTTTTTTTCGCAACTGGTGACATAATGAATTTTTTTAGAAATCAGTTTTATAGTGTTCAACATTATGCAACTGGTTGCGTAAAGTAGATAATTTTGACCTTGCTGCAATTACAAAAAATGTCACTTTATATGTCAAAAAATCGAATTGGGATTCAGAGAATGACATGTTTTAAGAACTAAGGATAAGGAACACATTAATAAAAAAGTAAGCAAGAACTATGAAACGATCTAGATTTGGATATGAGAATTTTAACGCGCAAACCTTTATCTTTATTACTACGGCGGATCTCGAGACTTTAAAAAAAAATTAACGCCTTCGTTTAAACTAGCAACTAACGATTTTCGGTACACTATAATTTAGTGCTCACTTATGGATTTCGTTCGTGATTCTATCAAACACATTTTTTCATCGTAATTGCGTAATTAGCTCAAGGATGGACTTCGAGAGCACACTCGAAGCGAAAGAGAAAGAAGATTCTTCGACGTTGATTTCTTTGTCTGAATCGCCGTTTCCCACGGCTTCATCTGTACTAGTGAGAACGTGAAGAAATTAATCGATACGCTCACCTGAAGATGATCTTTGTATACAAGGAATCGCAGATTCTCATTCGGAAAGCGCCGTTTGGACCATAATTCCAGATAACTCGACAAGTATCGGTAAAACCAATAATTTTTCTCTAATTTTGACTGGATTGTTCATAAAATTGTGTTTGGTAAAAAATGATTAACCATTAGTTTTTTTGTAGTTCCAATCAAAGATTTCTGAAAATATTTGGCTAGCCTGGAACTGGACTGGTCTAGGTAGCAAAATGTAGTTTACGAGAAAAGTAATATAATCTACTTATAATTTCAAAGTGAGTATAACATGTTATACCATTATGTTTTTTTGGATAAACAAATCAATATAGACTAGGAAACATGGTTTTCTAATGATTTTTTTTTTGAAAAATGTATCATAAACCACTGTTGAAACATATTTTTTGTGCTTATACCTATTTAATATGAAAATTTTACATAGACCAATTCAAAATTGATACATTTTTCTTACTTTAAATCCAAAATAGGAGTTTGTGCAACAAGAAAGGATATGTTTCCATCATCGGACTGTCATATAGACAATCCACTCAAGTTGTACAGTATATTTTTCAAAAAGAAAATTACAAATTTTAAGAATTAATTTAGAAAGATGGAACAATTACTTTTACTTTTACTAATTTATGAAATAAAATAAACTTAAAAAAAAATAATCTGACTTTTCGCATGACAACTCAATATACTTACTATCTCTGCACTAATGAGACAAATAATTTTTTTTAAAACTCCTAATTAAATTAGTTTTAGACAGTTTTATTAATATTTACGATTTATTTGTAAATATAGACAAAAAATATCTTTTGGAATGTTATTATTTATCTATTATTCACAAGAATCACTCATTTTTAACTATATTTAATCTCAATTACCGAAAAAATATTTATATTGACAATTAATTAAAAAAAAACTTAGCAACTAGTGACATAATGAACTTTTCGTAACCAGTTACAGTTATATAAAGTAGAATCATTTTAATACTTACTACGATTACCAAAAAATGTCTCTTGATTAGTCAAAATAATGTTTTGATAACTTTTTTGTAAAATAGATTAGTAAGTGGTTGTCAAAGTCTAAAACTGTTCTACTTTTTGGGGTTACTTGAACAATTTTAAGTTTTCATAATGGCACTTATTCATATGCACATGCATAGAATAATTAGTTTTATCAGAACATAAGATAGTGATTTACTACGAGATAGAACACACTATATAAAAAGAAAGTTATATCTAATAGTTTAATATTTTCTACATGTGTAATTATAATGAACATACAATCATAAATGCTTGGAAAGTTGCAAACAAAACACAGAGTTACAGATTAGTATTTGCTTAGAAAATGTACCATGACTTGAATTTCTTGAAACTGAATACTATGGTACTTCATTTTTGATAAAATGTTAAGCTAAATTATTAAACATATTATAAATTAAGTGAATCCAGAATCCCAGGATGATAATAAATTTTCCAATTGTAAAAAAAAATCGCTCTGAGCAAGGCTTAAACTTGTGGTTCAGGGATACCGTCCTAACGTCATAACTATTAGACCACCGGAGAGTTTACATCCAGTGCCCTAATTGTTCTTTTGTTTCAGCATTTAGACCGACAAAATTTTTCTGGGTAAACCTTTCTTCATTAAATGTTATAAATTGTTATTAGTTGAATAAAAAACGTCAATGTGTCGTTTTTCGATAGAAATAAAAAACATAAAAGAACAACTTTTATGGACCAAAGGACATTTTCAAAAGCACCCAAAGGTATGCATAAAATAAACCGAAAGGTGACTCACAGCAAGGAGTACAGATAGATAGTTTACGTGTGAAAGTTTGGATCACAAATTTGGCCTTCATTCGTTTGAGTTATGTTACCAAAATGATAATTTTCAAAACAGTTTCATTAATTAACTACTTCCTACTAAAGTAAAAATACACATTTGTAGAAATGATAATATATAGGTATTATCTATCTAAATTATTATGTGCTACATATAAAACGAAAATATATAATAAATATAGTTTTTTAATGCTTCAAGTAGTAGTAATTTATTTGCATTGATATTTACATTCAATATTTTTAAATTTTAATACAAACCAATCATGGTTTTATACTGATAAACCGTGTCTTTGTGGTTTTTGATTAAACTGTACTTATGCTTAAATGAAAAGGTTTTTAAGTAAAATTATTAGGCTTGCATAAAGGGACGTATGTAGGTATTAAATAATTTTTTCCGATTCCATGAAAAAGATTTTGATTATAAATTATTTTTACGAATATATTATTTCTTTATTGAATTAAGAAAAAAAGGTAAATAATTTTCTATTGCTTTTCATTTTCTACAGGTTTCATAAGCTACTAAATCATAAATCAGCCGTTTAATATGGTTAGCGATTGTCAAAAGTCAAAACTCAACTGACAGTAGTGACAGTTCGCTAGTTTCAATAAATTCAGTCAGTTTGTACATTAAAACTCTATTTTACGTAAAAATAAATCTGGATATCAATTGATAGGAATATTTAACAAATCCAAATAACCTGTTTAAATTAACTTCCAGAACTGTCAAAGAAATATACAAAATTATATTAAAAAATTTCATGGTTTGACAATATTTCACTGACATATTTCGGAGCAATAGCTGTAAATCCATCACAGAGTCGTATATAGATGATTCGAAGGTAACTAAAATAAAATTACAACTTCTGTGAAAAATAGTAATTCATAACCATTCATGTCTAAAAACAAATAAAATTTTGGTAAGGTAAATTTAATAAAATTATAAAATTCCCCCAAATTTGGTACTTAATAACTCATATTACTTTTCAATTTAGTAATAGCATTTAAATATTGATATTTATTTAATGTATGGTGCGATCTACAAAAAAAAAATATTCCTTATGTCGAAGCCTATAATTTTTGAATTTACGTCAAAGCCGTGCGTAGTTATCACGGACATACCTCGTATTT